GCAGGGTGTGGAACAATCCAAAAAACACCCAGCCCCTCCCCAACGAGAAGGGTCTTCTTCAGCGGCCCGACTGCAGGGGCTGCCCGCCGCAGCGCCGCGGGCGCGGCGGGGGGTCCTCGCGCCGCCCGCCCGCCAGCTCGTGCGCGACGCCGCCCCCGGGGCCCAGGGCCGCGAAGGTCACCTGCCCCCTCCTCTCTTCGGTCGGTCGGGTGGCAGCAGCACCTCCCCTGCTGCAGCAGGGGCGTTGACCCAAGGAACGATAAATAAGGATCGAGGCCCCTTTTTCCCTCAAGTTTAACTTCGATTCCCGATCGAAAACCAGAGGTGAACTTCAGGCAGACAGTAACACCTCTAAGGAACAGGGAGCCCCTCCCAAACGAAAAGGGTTCCTTCTTCAGCGCCCCGACTGTACGCGTTCGATCGACCATAGCACCCATGTGCCTCGGGCGGTCTTCGGGGGTCTTCCAGCGGTCTTCCGGCGGTCGTCCGGCGGCTTCCCGCGGTCGTCAGCGGTTTCTCGCCGTCTTCGGCGGCTTCCCGCGGTCTTCGGCGTGAAAGTTGGACGCTTGCGTTTAGCAAAGGGCCCAGCACCGAACACCTCGGCAAACGATAGGGGAGTGACCACAGGGAGCAGACTGCATCCAACGGCGCCCCCCCCACAGTGCAGGACTCCCGCACCACCACGGTACCCAGACGCGCGACGTCTTTTTGCTTTTGTGTAAAATCCCGTAGAAGTGCAATGTCATGTATAATGTATACAACGTATGCGTACACACACATATATATATATGTATATACATATGTATACACATTTTGTATAGTAGAACCATCGCGCGCTTGGCGCGCGCGCTCAAGTTCTAGATAGGCTGGATGGTCGAACTGGGGGGATTTCTATTCCATGACTCTTCTTCTCCGGGGCTTCCAAGAACCACGGAGACGGCCATAGTGGCTTCCGAGACTTCCGACGGTCCACCCACAACGGCTTAAGACAGGTCCAACAAGTACTTCGGGGGCCCTTTTATTCGCCGCGGCTGGACGTAGCCGGAGGAAGAGGGAGGAGAAGGGGAGGTCAAGGGTTTCCCTGGGGAAGAAGGAGGATGAGGAGGAGTTGGGGAGGGTGGAGGAGGCCGCAGGGAGGAGGAGGGAGGAGGAGGAAGAGGAGGAGAAGGACATATGATATTTTCGTTTTTTTGCAAGCGTAGCGAAGCTGCCAAGCGAACTTGAAAAGAAGAAATGTTGGAATTACCGTTTTTCTCAAGTGTCCTCGGGGCCTCTGTCGGGGCTCTTTTGGGCCTCATTGGGGCTCCTTGGGGACCTCTTGAAGTCTCCTGGGGGTCTCCTGGGGCGAAGATCTCGGGTTCTCGGCTCACGTTCCCGATCCTGGGCCGCGGTTGGGGCCCTCTCGGGTCGTCTTGGACGTCTCTTCGGCGCTTTTGAGCCTATTGGGCCGTCTTGGTGCGCTTTTGAAGCCTATTGGGCCGTCTTGGGGCGACCCTCGGAGCCTCTTGGGGCGTCTTGCGGCGTCGGGAAGCGGAACAAGCGGATACGCTAAAATTGTTCAAACACCTACGGAAAATACACATGTGTTGGCCTCTTCGACCTCTGTTGGGAGACCTCTTGGAAACCTCTTGGGTATCTTGGGGGCCTCTTGGGCCGTGTGGAGGCTGTCTTGGGCGCCTTGGACCATCTAGTGTCCTTCGGCTCATTCCGCCACAATGCCTGGTTGTGGGTTAGAGGTCTCTTGGAGGTTCGTTTGGGAGACGTGGAAGGCCTCCCGGGGGCCTGTTGAAGGCAGCTTTGGACCCTCTTGGGGGCCGATTGGGGTGCTCTTGCGGCCTATTTTGGCACCTCTTTGGGGCCTCGTGGGGCCTCTAGGGGGCCTCTTGGGCTTTCTTGGGGGCCTCTTGGGGCCTTCTGGGGCCCTCTCGGGGTGAAGGCTCGAATTGTTGGTTCGTGTTCCCTCTCTTGAGACCCCCTTGGGGCCGTCTTGGGGCCCTCTTGGGCGATCTTGGGCGCCTCTTGGGCCGTCTTGGGGCACTCTGAGGCCGTCCTGGGACCTTCTTGCGCCGTCGTGGCGACCTCTGTGGGTGCTGATTTCTGGGGCCTCGTGGGCTGTCATGGACCGTCGGAAGCACGAAAAAGCGAGAACACGAAAAACCTACAACAAACCTGGAAACAACCGACTTGTTTCGCCTACGGAGGGCCTCGTGGGAGTCCTTTTGAAGGCATCTTGGCCGTCTTGAAGCCCTGTTGGGCTGTCGTCTAGCCATGTTGGGCCAATTTTGAAACGCTCTTGTGCGGTCTCGGGCTCGCTCGGAGCGCTCTTGGGTCATCTTGGCGCCCTATTGGGCGTCTATCGGGTCCTCTTGTCGCCCCCCTTCCCCTCCTTTGACGTATTCTGGCGCCCCCCGACAGGTCCAAAACGGCCTGGTACGAAATGAATGCGCTCCGGGGCCCCCAGGACCCCATTTCCATGTGCATCATATATGTATGTGTATGTACATATATATATATATACACACATATATATATATATATATATATATATATGCAAACGCTAACCGCGCCATGCGGTATATGCGGACTGGCGGCGTCTGCCACACATCATCGTAGAGCGTCTGCCCACGACGCGGCTGGTCTCCTACCAACTGGCACTGCCGTGGTGCACGAGGGGGGCTGCCTCTGTGACCACCCTCGGCGCACCTGGCGTGTACAAGTCTGATCTGGCACATGATGTACACGTGGATTCGTATCAGAACTGCAATGCGAATCGCGCGCTCGGGTCTCGCATATCGAAGGCAGCAGGAATAGATCGACGGGCTGGCATGCCCCGAAAAACAGAGCTCGCATTCCAGAACCTACTTCTTAGCCTGGAAGAGGCCACCCCTCCCTTTGCCCTTGCCCTTCGCCCCGAAGGCAAGCTTAGAGACCTCCTTAGCGTACTTGGATCTGGGGCCGTGGTCAGGGCCAACCGTGAGGCCCAGCTCGCGCGCTAGGCACAGATCCTGGAAGATACCCCACATCTCCAGGAAGTGCGGCACGCGGTTGGCTGCGAAGATCCACTTGCATTACGCTGTATCATCACCGGATTTCTCATCCTCCACGAGCGCGCTGAAGCACCTCGCGGCCGAGATTGGGGACCGCTGCGCTGACCCACCCACGACTTTGAGCCACGCGAGCGCCTTATCGGCGGCCCCGCGAACCCCGGCCCCGTGCTCGCCCTCCACGCGCACGAGGGCGGCCTCTCTGTGCTCTTCCATCTTGTTCGCGAGCCGGAAGATCAAAGAGTTGAGCAGCGCCGTCGGCTTCTTGCCATGCGGGTGGCCGTTGAAATCCTCGCCCGCCCCGTGCGCCTCTTTGCGCACAACGACCCCTGCCGCCGCGCATCGATCCACCGTGGCCGCCGTCTCCACCATCAGAGGGTGGTCCTCGGGCCCGGTCAACACCACGTTTTGGTCGCGCATCGCCTGGGCCCGCTCGTCGTCCAGGGGCAGCGCCAGCCGCGATAGAGCGTCCTGCAGCCGCAGCTCCTTGGCCCTGTTTCCCTTCGGGTTCGGAGCCTAGTCGCCCTCGTCGCCCGCGTCCCCGGCCGCGGGCGAGTCCTTGCCATTTACTTTCTCCTTGTCCTTGTCTTTCTTGCCCCCGGGGAGGCCCAGAACCTGCCCCGAGGCAGCGGGGGCGAGATCGCCTCGAACACGGCCGCCCACAATGCGGGCAGGAGCGGCAGGTGCGTCGTGAAATGTCGGATCCAGGCTTGACCCAACGTTCTCACGGCTAGGACTGTCACCGGCAGCAGGGGCCGGGTCGGGGGCCACTGGAATTGCAGAAGGGGTGGGCGCGGAACTCGGGATTGCAGCGACTCCAGCCCTGCATCTGGAGCGGACGTGGCGCATGAGGCTGTCGCGTCGGGTGAAAGTCACGCAGCACTGATAGCACTGGGGCCGGCAGAGAGGAACGAACTCGACTAGTCTATGCTTTCGGGCAAGATGGGCACTGAGCCCCAGGGGTCCACGGCACAGCACGCCACATTCAGGACACGGTGCGTGAGGCTCTGGAGGGTCTTCCAAAAAAATAAAAACAAACGTGAGCACAGTATTGATGGATTCGAACGGGATCTGAGCCAGCCGCTCCAGCCAAGTAACAGTAAGCTGATCCAGCCCACGATCCACGCCGAGCCAGGACGCAAGCCCTCGCACAGCACCACCCCCGCGATCATACAGCAGTCGCAGATCCGATAGGATTGTGCGTTGTCTAGCCGTCATCTCCCCCATCGGCCCCCCTTCCCCCGGAGTCACAGCGCCCGAAGAGCGCGGCCCTGGCGGCAATAATGGGATTGTACTCAAGGGTGCCGAGAAATGGGTTGCTAGCATCGATATCTTCCGAATCTGCAATCGTCTGAATCTGAAGGGCGACTCGACCGTAGGGTTATAGCATTGCTCGCGTGCTGCCTCAGATTTCTCTCTGGTCGGGTGCGCGGATAAACGCGAGAGGTGTCGAAGGCGCCGGGTCTGGGATCTCTCTAAACGCAGACGCGCGGCGGCGTGCAGAACTTCGCCTCCAGGGCGCGCATCAAGATAGAGCAGACTAACGCTGTCCACAAAGCCACGTTTGCCTGTAAGTCGAAAGCGCGGCACTTCCAGAAGCGCGTGGAAGGGCGATGGTGGGCTGTGGAAGCGGCCTTTACGCGAGCCCTGGCCTCCGCCATCGGCGCCCCCGAAATTGCGGCACGGGGGCCCAGGTACTTTGCGTGCTCACGGACATTGACGCGCACGCCGCCGACCTGCACGAACGACTGGCCTGTCTGGACCTTCCTGTTGGAAGCCTTCGAACCAGCTCCAAAGCACCGGGCGGCAACCTCCAGCTTGGAATAATTCAGCACGCGCCGCTGTTCCACCAGGACCTGCGCGACCAGGGTAAGAAACGCCTCCACGCATTCAAAATCAGGGAACAATTCCACGGCACTCAGATCGCCCATCAAGACCGCCGCCCCCCCCCCCCACCTAGAGGTCCACGCAATCCGATCCTAGCCCGAGGAAGTTGTCTATCTGCGGGGCAAGCTTTGCCGCGGATTGATAGCTGTCCTTGCCCCTCGCGCCCTGGATGAGCATCAGGGCTACGTCGTGCAGGATGACGAAACGGACGGACCGGTCCACTGACCCTGTTTGCGCGCCCTGACGAATCGAAAGGCGCCGCGCAACGCGGCCAATGCGTGAACCCTGAAGCAGCATGTATGTGTCATTGCGCGCCTCCTCCAGCAGCAGGCGGAGGCGCACGCGATCAGACAGAGAAGCAAGTGTGTCCCAGAGCATTCCACGGCCGACTTTGTCGAACGCCTTGCCGAGGTCAAAGGGCGCTTGCACCAATGCCCAACGAGATCGAGCATGGCTGCGACGCTGGTTGGCGGCGCCGGTGACGCGGTTGATAATCTCGTCAACGATGCCGATGGCGTCCTGCGTGGAGCGACCAGGGGGCCCTCCAAACTGCGCCGGTAGCAAGGCAGAGGCAACATCAAAAGTCGCAGGTTCGAGAAAGGCTTTGATGAGCTGTTTCCCCCAATTGCTGAGCGAAGACAAATATCTCTAGTCGTTCTCAGGGTCCGAGCCGTCCCCTCTACCAGGCTTGCGAAGTGAAGCCATTTCGCCATCGCTGAATGAGGCAGGAAACGACACGAGCGCGCCCATCCCCGTGGACAGCTCAGCGAGGGGTTCTGCGATGACGCCTGAAGCAAGTTTGAACAGCATGCTGACTGCGCCCTGCAGCGGCCCACCAGGGCGCGCGGCAGAGATCGATAGCCAAGCCTTGAAGTTCGGCATCCGTTTGATCATGGACTCATCAATGGACGGTGCGAAGACGTCGCGGTCGCCGTGGCCCTCGGGGAGCGCCAGCGGGGTCGGTGGAGCACCAGGGTCAGGTAGCGAAGGTCGACGCGCTGAGCGCCGTAGATATTCCCCAAGGCGCGTTCGCGGGCAGTGAGCTCCTGACGCGTAGACCAGCAGAGCTCCCCGTCGAGCCGAATGGACACGGCAGAGGCCTTTCCTTTTGGGGCCAACACAAAAATCAGTTTAAAAGGCTCCTCGTGGGTCGCCGCGGGAGACAGCTTCACTCGCCTCCAAGGTAAGGCGATGGGCGTTCGCCCTGCGGTCTTGCCGAATCGCTGCCTTGGCCTTCTTCGCTGCCGCCGTGGCCATGTGAGCCACGTAGAAGCGCTGCTGGGAGAAAACGAAGATGTCGTGAAAGTGGACGCCGCTCAAGATCTTGAGCCACCAGTGCTTCTCCTCTATCAGCTCCAGGGTGGACGCCTGGAGCACAGACAGACGACTGGGCGTACGTTGGCCTGGGCGGAGGACAGAGCCAGCAACGATACCACTTCGTACGAGCAAGTCTTCAAGTTGTTCGTAGCCACGGCCAGGGTCGCTGAAAGCGAATGCCTCCAACGACACTTCACCAATACCTACATTTACTATGGTGCGAAAGTGCAGAGCCCTCTGTACGTCAATCGAATCGGACGAAACGCACGGTACTAAAGTATATTCAAGGATACTTTGGATTGACTTGAGTGCCGCTGAGAGGGACACGCGGTCCCAGCGTGGAATCGACTTCTTGGGTAGACCCGTATAATATCCAGCGATATGTCAAGGACACCAACAATAGGGCGATGATCGCGGACTCTTTTAATACCGGCTGGTGTCGCGTAGTCTGTCCAAGCCGAGATGCCAGAGTGCCCCTGGAACTTGACGATCAAGAAGTATATGCGGGAGTTGCCTCCCGTCGGTCTGATTCAGGCCCAAGAAGGTTTTCGGGTACTGCCGAACGTGTTGAGAGCTTTCAACCGGTAGTCGCGGAGGACGGTCCGCAAAGACTCGCCGTTGTTGCTGCGGGTAGGCGTATACAGGCGGGCGCTCTTGAACCCCACGAATGGCGCTTCAACCCGAAGGTCGCCGTTATTGCCCAAGGCCCAACCTACAGTAGCACGCTTACGGTTACAAAACAGCTTGAGGACATGATCCGCCTGTTTCCAAAATAGTTGATGCTGCTCTTTGTTGGCGAGGACGTCCTGGTCCTTTGTGTTTTTATCCAATCCATATCGTTCGCGGGGCGTTCCCATTCAAAATGTGTATGTCGCTATCCCTACTGCCGGTGCCCATTCGGACACGAACTCCAGCAAGTTTGCCAGGCATCCAAACATGGCGGCACACGATCGAATAAGAAGAGAAGGCCGCCGTGTCCAGCGCTATGGTAAGCCCGTCGTGAACCGTCGTCGAAGATTTAGGGAAGGATATGACGTGATAGTCCTCGGCCATCCACTCAATCGAGAGGTCCATGCAAGTGCCCTGCATGAGCACGATCTTCGCGTCGATGCTCCGCGTGTACTTGAGGATCTCCTGCTGCCTCCCCAAAACTTTCAGAAATTCCACATTGTAAGACCATGCCTTGACACGGTCTCCCTGGGCTGTGGTCGTGCGCCGCCCAGGGCGCCGCCCAGGGGCGGCTTCATACTGCGGTAGCTCAGCAAATATTGCATGCCCCTGCGAACGCGCGCCAAGTGACTCGTGCATAGATGTGAAAAAGCTCCAGGGGCGCCAAGTACGCGGCGTTCTCCTTCGTTTACTCGCGGCCTCTGTAACAACAGCGACCCATAAGGAATAATAACCGTACGGCGCGCCGCAAAGACCATTTGTGTGTCAGTCAGCCCGTGTTCCCTGCCTCGTTGTCCTCAGTATGATCCATACGTGCAGGTGCGTCGCACTCGGGCGGGCGCGACACCCTCAGCTCACCCACATCACGTGTTACATGAGATGCTCCATGGGCGGGGGGGCGGACTTGGGACCGCCAGCTGAGCAAAGGATACTGCATGTCCCTGGTAGGCGCTCGAGCCAAAGTCTTTTCTTTATACATATATATATATATGTATATATATAATTATGTGACTGAGTATGTATGTGTGTATATGTATATGTATATGTGTGCACATGTATGTATACATGTGTATATATATATGTATATATCCGCCGGCCCCCTCTGGGGGCGCAATGCTGCTAAGGTGTGCGCGGCCTGCTGTCATGTATTATGTGTTGTCATGTGTTGATTGGCCTTGTGTCTCTCCAGTCCTGTTGCCTGCCTCCTGTTTACTGTCTGCTAGGTAGTTCCGCCGCGCCACCAAACAACCAACGGTGGGGTAAACCTCAAATCCTGGCTGCTGCGGGCCACCCAAGATTCTCCTGGTGACGCCACCGCGCGGCCAGAACGGCCGGAGAGGCCTCCAAGATTGCCCAACGAGGCTCCGCCGAAGAGAGCCTCAGGAGCCCAAGACGGCCCAAGATGCTGCCAAGAAGGCCCGAGAGGCCTCCAAGCGGTCTCCCAAGAGGACCCCACGAAGCAAAAATCACAAATGTTCCAAAAGTTTTTTTGGGGGCCTTCTCGCCTTTTCTGTTTTCCAACGCTCTGACGGACCAAGAGGTTCCCAAGATCGCCCCACGACGGCCCTAGAAGCTCCCATGACGGCCCAAGAGGCCCCCAAGACGGCCACAAGACAGCCGAAGAGGGCCCCAAGACGGTCCAAGAGGCGTCCCAGACGGCCCACAAGGGCCCTAAGACGGTCCCAAGAGAGGCCCAAGAAAGACCACGAACCGAAAACTCGACCTTTCCACCCCGAGAGGGCCTCAGAAGACCCCAAGACGGTCCCAAGAGGCCCCAAGAGGCCCCAAAGAGGCCCCAAAGAGGCCCCCCAAGGAGACCCCCAAGAGACCCGAAATATGATATGCCTCAAGAGGCTCCAAAACAGCTTCCAAAAGGCTCCAACAATGACCCGCTGACGCTGCCGAGAAGCCTGCCACGAGAAGCACCCACGGCGCTATCCACGCAGCCGCACGCACTAGTAACAGGGGGCCGGCGGCAGAGGTCGAAGCTCTTTTGATCCGGCCGCTCCCGCCCTGCGGGTTGGGCCGTGCGAGACCTCTCTGACACAGTGTCTGGCACAGTCTTTGGCCCCCTTCTCCAGTGCCTGGTCAAAAACCTCCTGAAAGATCCTCCGAGGAGGCCCCACTCTGCCGCCGGCCCCACTCTGCCGCCGGCCCCCTTCAAGGTCTCAAACGGCCCGGGGACGACCCAAGGGCGCCCCAAGCCGGTCCAAGAGAGTCCAGAGCAGTCCAAGAGAGCCTCCAGACGGATCCAGATCGCTCCAAGACGCCCAAGATGGCCTCCAGACGGCCCAAGACGCCTCCAAGACGGCCCAAGAGGGCTCCAAGAGCACCCCCAAGACAGCCCCGAGAAGCAAAAATCATTGATTTTTCAATGGTTTTTGAAGGATTTTCACGTTCACGCCATTTCGGCTTACCCACGCTCCACGACGGCCCAAGAGGCCCCCAAGATCGCCCCAGGACGGCCCAACAGGCCCCCAAGACGGCCCCAAGACGGCCCAAGAGGGCCCCAAGACCGCCCAAGAGGCCCCCGGGACGGCCCAAGAGGGGCCCCAGGATGGCCCCAAGAGGAGGCCCAGAAGGGGTACCCGAATGAACATGTCGAGCTTTCGGCTCAAGAGGCCCCCAGGAGGCCCTCAGCGGCCCCCTGGAGGCCCCCAACAAACCCTAAAAGAGCCCCAAGAGGCCCCAAGAGGGCCCCCAGAGGTCTCCAAGAAGCCACTGGGACGCCCCAAGAGGCCCCTGAACTGCCCCGCAGAAGCCCCCGAGAGCTGTCCGAAGAGACTCCTGCAAGCGTCCATGAGGACTCTGAGCCACAACCCAGGCAAGGTGGCGGGATCACTCCCAGACGCCGAAGATGGCCTCTAGAGGCCCTCACACGCCTTCAAGGCGTCCCAAAAAACCTCAAAGGCCCCCAAGAGGGCCCGAAGCAGTTCCCAAGAAGCTTCCAGGAGGCTCCCCAGAGGCTTCAAAAATGCCCCGCAGAGGCTCCCGAGAGCTGTCCGATAGACGCTTGTAGGACTCCGACCCAAAACCCAAGCACGGTCGCGGGATGGGCCGACGGCCATTTGATAGGTGGCATACGCGCCGCATCACGACTTTCGATGCTGCGCACCACTTCGGCAAACTCCCAGGGAGCGGTCGGTGATGCGCCGCCGGCGTCCTCGATTATGATGATGATGATGATGATGATGATGATGATGATGATGCTGATGATAATGATGATGATGATGATTATTATTATTATTAATATTATTATTAAAATTATTATGATTATGATTATGATTATGAGTATGATTATTATTATTAATATTACTATTATTATTACTATTATATGTGTATATATGTATATGTACACACAAACACACCCACACACAAACACACACACACACACTCGAACCACACGCGCGCTTCGCGCGCTTAGGTTCTAGGAAGTCCTAGTTGTAGTCTCAAGTGCTCAGCATCGGAGGACAAACAGTGAAGACTGCGTTTCTGATGAAGCTCCCGTTGGTTCTTGGAGGCTTGTTGGGCCGTCTGAAAGCCGAAGGCCATCTTGGAAATGCTTGGGGCCCTCTTGGGACATATGGGGGGCATCGTTGGCCTTATAACGCTCCTCGTGGTCCGTGTCCTGTTATATCTGCCTCCTCGAATAATCAATTGACTACCCTTCGCTCTCAGGAGGGCTTGCTCTGCCCTTCAAAAGCCCGAGACGGCTTGATGAGGTCCAAAAGAAGCCCCTAGACGTCCTAAAATGGCTTCAACACGGGACCATGTTGGCACACCCGTCACGCGAGTCATGCCCAGAAGGGGATCCACCTGTGTCACCTTTGGGCTGTCACGCATGGCATCCCCCCGCCCATTTTGGAACATGCCTCGCACGGGTCGTGTCCTGCCGAGCTCCACCTGCTGCGTCAGTGGGCGTGTTCGCGCGGGAACATCCGAAGTATTCGGCACCACCCCGTTCACACGGATCGTGGCCCGCAAAGAACTCAGCGCGCCCGTGCACGCGTGCCCCGCAGCATCCGATTTTCCGTACAGATTGCCCCGCGACGCGCAGTGTATGAGAGACCCGCACCATGCGCTACACATGGCTGCATAGGGATGGGTCCGTCGCCAGGTCAATTGCTTGCTTGTCGATGTCCTTCGGCCCATACCGCCTCCGTGCCTGATAGGTCAGAGGTTTCTTGGATATCTGTGGGGATCTCTTTCCATACTTCTCGGTGCCTCTTGGAGCGAGTTTTGAAGCTTCTTGGGGCTTCTTAGGGGCCGTTTGCGGGCCTCTTTTGTGGCACTGGGGGGCCTCTTGGGGACCTGCTGGCGGCCTCGGGTACGCACTTGTGGCGGAGAGCTCGACACGTCAGTTGGGGTTCCCCCTCTTCGACCCCTCTTGGGGCCCTGTTGAACCGTCTTGGGCGCCTGTTGGACCCCGTCTTTGTGGTTGTCTTGGGGCGTACTGGGTCCCTCTTGGGATCTCTTAGGCCGTCATGGCTGAGAGGATGTCCCAGCGAACGGCCCAACCCTATATTGAGGTCCGGCGTGCCCCCCTCCAGGCGGAATGTGGACGACAATGAAAACGTAGTCCAAACATATTCCCAGACAGTTCAACAAGAATAGAAAGATCGCCCCCAGACTACGTCTTGACTGTTTTCGGCTATCCCTCCTGTGGAGGGGGCACGCCCGCCTTGACCCCGTGCCGATGGCGCGCGGCCGTGGGGAACCCGTCGGCGTGCAGCTCCTGGAGACGCACCCGCTGTTCGCGCAGGCGCCCGGGAGGCACACGCCGACGGGGCTTCCAGCGGCGGCGTGCCATTTGATGGGCCGGTTTTCCTCCACCACCACCACCATCAGCTGGAGGGGGGAAAGAGGAGGAGGAGGAGGAGGAGGAGGAGGAGGAGGAGGAGGAGGAGGAGGAGGACCTCCTCCCCCTCCAGCTTCTGCTGGTAGTGGTGGTGGAAAACAGGCCCATCACCAATGCTACGTGCTTGTTGTATGGAACAGGGATCAGTTGACCCGGTGGTCTGAGAGAGAGGCTCGCCACGGGTGGGGCCACGGCCTTGCCCGACATCCGACGCCGTGATCTTCCCACGGCGTGTCTCGGCGGCGATCGCGAGGGAGGGAAGTGAGAAGGAGAAGGCCTTCCCGGAAGGAGGCGGGGCTGCTCAGAAGCCCTCCAGCCTTCTGAGAGGTGTTCCGTGTCCTCGGGGAAGGCTCAGACAACTTCTCAAAGGCCGGGGGACGTCTGAGCCATCTGAGAAGGCCCGCTCCTTCTCACTTCCCCCCCTCGCTCGCCGCCGAGCGTCAGGAGAGGCTAAGTCTCAGTCCAGACAGAGTAAGCTCATACGGAGGCCGAGCACTCCGTACGGACTTGCTCCGTGCGAACTTCGCCTCCTGGCAGGAGAGACGAAGTCCAGCAGGAGTAAGCCCACACGGAGACCGAACACTGCGTATGGATCTGCTCCGTATGGACTTGGCATCTGCCGGAGCGTGGCACACTCGAAGTCATAGATAAGCGCGTTCCACTTCTCGCGGTCGTAACTGCTCGCAGAATGGCGGCCTTGCATCGAGGCGAACACGCGTTGCTCGAACGCCGACTCTGTCTACTCGGAGCCCAGCTTGGGCGGCCTGGATCGACTGCAACTGGCCCCGAGGCCCGAGTGCTGCCATAGACCGAACGTTCATACCACGCAGTCTTGTTCTTTTCAATGCTGGCAAATCAATGTCTGGCCGCTTGTGTCTATAGCTCGGCGTGCTCTCTATTAGAGCTCACCAGCACGAGTGCTTCAACAGATAGACCACCTATCAGAGCTCCGATGCAGAAGTCTCGCGCAGCGGCAATGAGAGCAGCATGAGCCGCACTTTCTACTTGGATCTGCAGTTGGAGGATACTCGTGCTGAGATGACGCCGCCGCAATGCGGGGTTCCAGTCGAAAATGCAGCCGCACTGCGCTGCTCATTCTAATACGATGCGCTCCAATGAGTGCGTGCCTAAGCCAAGGTGGGCGCTGCAAGCGTCGAAAAAACCTGTCGCCGAGCCACAACAACAGGTGCGTGAAGGGAATAGATGCGAACGCAGGACAAACGGTCCCCCGATTCGGCCACTGAATCTGAACATAAATCACTCGCAATTAGTTGAAACCGATCTCTCGTTCTGAAGCGAAAACCGTCCGAACACTGTCTCCTGAGTTCGGCTCAGACACAGAGCAACATTTACGCACCTGCACAAGCTTTCCGCGCACTATCTGGTGCAGCAGCGCTGACTTTCTGCTCGCTCACCTTTGAGGCGCCCAGAGCAGCATGGAGCGCACTCACGCACTCATTGATCGCATCATGTTCCTTTTCTCCGCCACCGAGGGCAGCCTCCAACGCCTTAGCGCAAGCCTTGACCGGATCCTCCTCACCACCGACCGGGGAACCTTCCAACGCGCCAATGCAAGCCTTCTTCGCGGCCTCCTCTTCGCCCAAGAGTGCCGTCAGTGCATCCGCGCAGGCCTTGATCGCGTCCTTCTGGTCATCGCCAAGGTCGGCGGCGCTCTTTCCCTTGGCCTCGATCTTGCTGTCCGCTGCGGCCAGGGCGGCGGTGAGCTTGGCTTTGTCCTCCGCGGCCAACTGGGCGAGGGCGGCTGTCAGCTCTGCGGTATCTGCGGAGTCCACTGCGGTCCTCAGTCCAAGAGAGGCCGCGGTCCCCATTGCAACGAGATGGAGGCAAAACTCTGCTTGGAGAGGGGTCGCCTCTCTACGGACAGCTCAGCCAGGAGCAGACAAAGCTGGAACCAAAAAAGAAACTTGAGCCAAAATGGTCACGGAACGTACAGTGGAGGCCAGTCCACAAGAAACCCGCCACAAGAAACCCAACCCTGAGACCCCAGGACGTCCATTGAGCTTTAGCGTGGGAACACCACGCTGTCCATAGCAAAACCCTCGAAACCCAGGACACCCAGGGCACCCTGGAGGCAACCAGGGTGTTTCCTGGCATGGGCCTCCACTGCAGATCGCACGCCGTGAGGTCGGTGTCGCTGCGCGAGGGGGCCCCAAACTCAGCCCTCCCGCTGCCGATCGAGGGGCGACCCGGACCCCCCACCCGCGGAGAACGCTCTCGACGAGGCGCAGCTGTCGGAAGGCACCCCGAGGAGGAGGAGCAGGAGGAGGAGGAGGCGACGAGGAGGAGGTGACGAGGAGGAGGAGGGAGAGGAGGGAGGCAGGAGGAGGAGGAGGAGGAGGAGGAGGAGGAGGAGGAGGAGGAGGAGGAAGAGAAGAAAGTACCAACAAGTCATAGTCCCAGAGCCCCGGGACTCGATCTGGGGTGCGCTTTGGCGCCGAAACTTCAAGGCGGATCCAAACGTTCCGGCGTGGAGCCCCTCGAAGGCACATGAAGGCCGAACAACATCCAAGCTTGAACGTAGAACTATCGGAGGAGGAGCAGGAGGAGGAGGAGGAGGAGGAGGAGGAGGAGGAAGATGAGGAGAAGGAGGAGAAGAAGGAGGAGAGTGAAGAGGAGGAGGGGTAGGAGGACGAAGAGGAGGAGGAAGAGGAGGATGAAACCGGAGAAAGAGAGGAGGAGAAGGATGAGGATGAGGATGAGGATGAGGATGAGGATGAGGATGAGGATGATGATGATGATGATGATGATGATGATGATGATGATGGTGGTGATGATGGTGGTGATGATGGTGGTGATGATGAGCAGGAGGAGGAGGAGCAGATAGGGGGAGGGGGAGGGGGAAGGAGTAGGAGGAGGAAGGAGGAGAGCGAATGATGGGGAGGGAGGAAGAGGAGATAGGAGGGAGGGGGACATCAGAGGAGGGGGGGGAAGTACGAGGAGGAGGAGGGGGGAGAGGAGGAGGAGGAGGAGGAGGGAGGAAGAGGATAAGGAGGAGGAGGAGAAGAGGAGGAGGAGGAGGAGGAGGAGGAGGATAAAGGAGCATATATGAGGATATAGAAGGGGATGGAGGAGGAGGAGGAGGAGGAGGAGGAGGAGGAGGAGGAGGAGGAGGAAGGAGGAGGAGGAGGAGGGGAGGAGGAGGAGGAGGAGGAGGAGGAGGAGGAGGAGGAGGAGGAGGAGGAGGAGGAGAGGAGGGAGGCAGGAGGAGGAGGAGGGGGGAGGAGGAGGAGGAGGAGGAGGAGGAGGAGGAGGGAGGAGAGGAGGAGGAGAGAGAGGAGAGAGGAGGAGGAGGAGGAGGAGGAGGAGTAAGGAGGAGGAGGAGAAGTAAGAGGAAGGAGGAGGAGGAAGAGGAGGAAGAGGAGGAGTAGGAGGAGGCGATGGAAGGGAAAGGGGCATTGGAAGAGGGGGGCAACAACACTCAAGCCCATCAAGCCGTCTGATGCCCACTTTGAAGAATCTTGGCTCGGGCGGGAGCCTTAAGCAGTGTTTAACCCTCTGGTCGTCATTCCGCCTTCATGGTAATCATGCTGTCACACTGAACGCACGGCTCTGGCACTTGCCTGCGGAGGGCGGCGACGACAAGGGGGGAGAAGCAGGAGGAGGGAGGGAGGACGAGGAAAAGGAGTAGAACATTGGAAGAGACAGGACGAGGGAGAGGGAAGGGGAGGGAGGGGGATGACGAAGGAGGAGGAAGAGGAGGAGATAGGAGGAGGGGGAGGGAGAGGAGGAGTCTCTCTTTCACACTTTCCCTCCCTCCCTCTCTCACTGCCCACTCGAATAAACTCCACCAAACAAACATCCTTCTGCTATTTGTTCTGGGTGGGGGAGCACTTTGCTGCCCCCTCCATCCCTAGTGTCTCTATTCACGTCCTGCCGCGAGCCAACAGGGCCACGGCGCAGTCAGTCGCGCCAGCGCGGGGGCGCGGCCGTCGGCGAAAGGCCTCGGGGTGGGATCCCCCCGAACCTGGAAGCCCCCAAGGTGGTGAGACATCGCCCGCAACTGCAGAAGCTCGAATCCGCGAAGACTCAGGGGACACCACTCCCGAAACCACGTCACCAAGAGGCCCTGGGTGACTTTTCTCTGGCCGCTCAAATCGTCAGCGACCCAGAGGGTGAGGTATCCATGTCTTGCTCGTGCTGTCTCACCTACGACGTCCTCCACCACGGCCAGCAGCTGGAAGCTTTCGCACTAGGTTGCTCCGAAGGGCGCGGCCTAATGGAATCTGGGCTCCCATCGGCATCAAGGCTTCCGCTATCATGCTATCCACTGGGATGTTGAGGCTTGGCACCTGGACGTGTTCTGTGGGCGTCTCTAACAAGAGCCCCCGGGTGACTCTTTTTGTTTGTGGCCGCTCGGCAACCCAGAGGGTGAGGTATCCATGTCTTGCTCGTGCTGTCTCACCTACGGCGTCCTCCGCCACGGCCAGCAGCTGGAAGCTTGCGCACTAGGTTGCCCCGAAAGGCGCGGCCTGATGAAATATTGCCTCCCATCTACCTCAAGGATTCTGCTTTCATGCTGTCCACTGGGATTTGAGGCCTGGCAACTGGACGTGTTCGGTGGGCGTCTATACCAGCGTGGCTTGATGAAACGGGTTCCTCTTTTCTACCACCGCCTTCATCATCTGGTCGTGATGCTCCGTGTTTCGCGCAAGGACGAATGCACCGTGGAAGCTGAACATAAACCGCACCTTCGGTTCTTGGCCTGGCCTCTGAAACTTTGAGCAAGATCATCATCCGGCGGAGCCATTGGGCCGCTGCAGTCGGGCCTGACTTGTTGACCATCGTTTGGCGTCGCGTGATGCCGGCGAGGATCCTGCGGAAGCGCGCCGGCGTATCCTTGTGCTCGTAGCTCAAGATAACTCGGTGACGGACAGAACCCCCGTTACCATAACGTGGTTTAGTGAAAACGACCTCGGGCCCAAACCTGGCGGGCGCAAGCCTGGAAAATGACGTCCGCGGCGCCCTCTCGAGAACCAAAAACGGACAATTCACGAATCGACGTGTCAGGGTGCGGGTTCTTGCCACCCCCGAATAACGCTGAGGACCCCCGAAAGCACGTGGCACGGAGGCGGGCCAAAGTCCTGTGTCGGGCTGCTCGTCGCGCAGCTTTCAGGTACGCTTGGAAAGTGGCTTGTCATTGCCTTCGCCACGTCGCTCTTTTTCGGGGGCGCGCAAGCATGGATTAGCGATCCATGGATTTGGCGCGCGGTCACCAAATCCACGGATCGGGGGAGGTGCCCTCCCCAAAATGCGGCCGGTACCGCCTCGTTCGGCGGCGGACATCCGCGATTTCCCATGGAAACGGGACCCGTCGCTAATCCACGCCCCCTTGTTCCATGTTTGCGATCGCCTGACTTTTGTTCATCAGCATCGCCGTCCTGCACCCGTTCTCGATGGCACGAACTCGACCCTCCAGCGGCACTAGCGTCTGCATCGTCTCGAAGATCCCGTCCACCGAACGCTTGTCGTCTTCTCCATCCTCCAGCCGTGCCTTCTTGTCGGCGCCTCCCGCCACTGCGAAGCTCTGTCCTCGGGGCCTCGCTGCTGGGCTTGCCAGCCACAATATCGCCAATATGTCTGGTATAGCAAAAATTGGGGACATGTATACAATAATGTGCTCACGAACGCGCATGAAATACCCGACACCGGTCTCGAACTTCTCTAGACACACGACGCACACGAGGTTCGGGTTGACGAGGGGAGTGTTGTATCTCGCACGCGCTTTGGGGCAATGCTGTTTGTTGAGGCTGCCTGCGATGTGTTGTCGAGCTACGGCTTGATCTCGAAATGTGCTCCCACATAGAACGCAACCGCTCGTGTTTGTAAGAATATTTGCGATCTGTGCCCGCCAACGTGTCCCTCCCACCACCGACACTATGCGAGCGAACAAGACCCTCATTTGTTGGCTAACAGGAAATGCACACGCTGCCGTTGTCCCACAGCTTCTCGCACCTGTGCGCCCCGCCTTCGCCTGAGCGAGCGACAGGATATGGCTGATCTGTACGCTGCACAAGGAATCAAGCTCGAAGCTCGCCGACACCTATAGCGCACAGATTTGTGTGATCTTCAAAAAGCAGTCCGAAGGGACACTGCCGCGCATGTAAAACTTGGCTTCCCTCTACGTCTACGAACCGATCAAAATCCGCTTGAAATTTTCCGGGCCACGGGTTGGCCGTGTCGCCCACTCGGCCGTCTGAAGTGAGTATCGGGTCGGCGAACCTGGTTCTTCCGAGCACAACCAAAAAACATCGGGCGTTGTCTGATTTGAAGGCCACCGAGACCGGCAACAACTTGAGCCTCCGAATCTGGGGCGCAAGTTGAAAACCTTCGGAAAACGTCGTGATGATGTTTGGAAATGATATGTCGAGCTCACGAGTCCCGAGACGAGGTCACCTTAAGACTGGCCCTGTAGTTCTTCACGGTGTAATTCTGGAAGCTGCCCCAAGTCCACCTCCCGCAAAGGCCCCGCCCCAGCGACAACCACCTCCGCCCCAGATAATGCAGTGTTTACCAGGTGCCCTTTCACTATGGCCTACTTGATGCTGAAAGGGGCGTCCGAGTACCTGCCTATGCTATGGAAAGCAGCCTTCAACGCGCTCACCCCCTTTATGAATATCAGGCCCTGGGGTAAAGGTCGCGGTCTGCAAGCCGATTAGATATTTGCAGTGATGAAGCGTGCGTCCTCCGCTCACCCGACCATCACAGAATCGTCGCTGCGCAGTGTGGGACCCACGGCCTCACAGATAGCAGATGTTCTCTTGCCTGTCCAAAAGTTTGCCCTGCTCGAACCCAGCATGGACCCTCGTCGATCGCATCGTTCTCGAGTCTACTACCTCTCGCGACCGTCGTTTCTAAGTCGCCCTCCCCCTCCTCCACTCTTTTGTTGGCTACGTCGTCTTCGTATCCATTCATAGCAACCTGCTCTGGCCACTCCTCGCTCAAAGGTAGTATGGCCTGTAGACACGGGAACCAGAGCTCGAAAACCGTCAAGTCAGCGCAGCACTCCAGCACTGGCTCGGAACACCTCCTACAGAAACGTTGCGTCGTTCCAGTGCCCCCAGGACATGGGCCCGACTTGGCCTGTTGCAGGGAGGTCCCCGTTTAACACTCCAGAAAACGACAAGTATGAACGACTCTGTCCGAGATGAACCTCGTGTCGACGAATTCCAGAATCGCACCGTGGTGTAACGTGCAATATGTCTTGACCGCGTCGTGGCACCTCTGAAGGTGTGAGGTGCCAACTGCCTGAAGACGAGCACTGCCTGCTTGTTGAACCAACATAGCCGTCTCCCTCCTCCGGCTCCTGAGGCCACCGTGGCTCCAGTTGCGGGATCCCGCTTCCCCGCTTCGGATATTTGCGAGCCAAGACGGGGGAGGAGGAGGAGAGGAGGAGGAGGATGAGGAGGAGGAGGCGGAGGAGGAGGAGGAGGCGGAGGAGGAGGAGGAGGAAGAGGAGGGAAGGGGAGATAGGAAAGGGAGGATGAGATGAGAGGAGGGGGGGGGGGAGGAGGAGGGAGGTGAAGGGGGGAGGCGAAAGAGGAGGGAGGAGGAGGGGGGAGGAGGACGAAGAGATGGGAGAACCTGCTCAGCCGTGCCGAAGGGCGTCGTAAAGAGGCCGTCAGCGGCCAGCACAGGCAGCGCCGCCGCCTCTCCAGCGGCCGGCGCGCGTTCTCTGGCCGCGCCGGCCCAGGCTGGCTCGGCCGGGTGGGCCTCTCGCGGAGAGGCATAGGCAGGGCGAGTTCCCGACAGGCTTGCGTCGTAGGAGAGGCCGCGACGGGAAGCTCGGATCCGCCTTGGGCCTCTGGGGACCCCCGCGGGGCCACGGGGCCGTCGCCACGGGACGAAGAGCACGTCCTGGGGAAAGGGTCGGGGCTTCTGCGGGCCCCGTATGGAACAAATCACGCCATCGCACGTGTGGCTCCACATCCTCGCGGTCTGGACTCTTGGGCGCAATCCCGTGGATGCGCGGTCGCACGGGCACGTTCCCCGCGAGGCAACCGTGGATGTCCGCCCCCGCTGGCCAAGGGCCCGGCCCGCCAGGCAGTGGTTCCGAGGTGAGGGGGTGAGACCGCAGTGAAGCGGAGAGCCCCCCACTGGGAAAAATCGGTTTCGGTTTCGTCGTGTTCGTGTCGTCTGTGCGAGGCGAAGCTGTGTGGGCGGGTGAAAGACATGAATCCTCCTCCGGCTAGGAGGAATGAAACCTCCTCTGGCTAGGGCGCACCTCGGCCAAAAGACCGCCCCCCCCCTCAGGTTGTGAGGCGGTGGCCGCGGGTGTCCCGCCGGTGTCCCGTCGGTGTCCCGTAGGTGAGATCGATTGTGAGATCGATAATGATATCGGTAGTGAGATCGATCGTTCGTGAGGTGATAGTGGAATCGATAGTGAGGTGGATAGTGAAATCGATAGAGTGATAGGGATAGTGAAACCGATTATGATAACCATAGAGAGACCGACGGTGAGATCGATAGATCGTGAAATCGATCGTAATATCGATAGTGAACTCGATAGTGAGATCGGTCGTAAGATCGATACTGAGATCAATCGTGAGATCGATTATGAGACCGATAGTGAGATCGATTGGCTGAGACGTTGGTTCCTCCCCCCACGACCCTCCTCATCACCCGAAGGGTTGTCGCATAGGTACGGATGCCTTCGGCCCACGCGGTAAGGGCAGACCCTGACATCCTCTCGCCGTGAGCAAACAGACGACACATTTTTTTTGCGTCGCTCATCTGTCCAACGGCGGCGAGGGCCATGCGGCCGTCGCTTGGCGGTGCTTTCGGAGCTTGGCGAAGGGGCAAAAAAGAGGTTGGGGGAGGATCGCTCTGAGAGAAGGAGGAATGGGCATCCAACTGGTCTGGTTAATGATTACCACCTTGGGCTAACCCTTCCCATGAAACCAGGTCCGCCTCAGTTTGGACAATTCCACATACAATTCAAGAATGTTCACGTTCATTGTGCGATCCCCCATAAGTCGGCTTTCGACCTAAATCAAAGTTGGTCCTACGACTTCATTTTCGACAGTAAGCTGCGCAGTCTTCCACAGCCTTTTAGATCCGTCCACGGCATTGTGGAACATCCCACCACTACAATCGACACGTTCGGATTGGGTCGGGAGTTGCTCTACGGGAGACAATGCCCGTCGGCCGCAAGAAGTGGGTATAAGCATGAAGTAGGACGGCGCTGGAAGTAGATTGGGCTCCCTCCTGAAGAAGGGAAAAACAAGGAAAACTGGTCGACACTTGAAGTAGGAGGGCGCCTAAAATTTATTGGGATATGGAAATCCAAAAATACAGGCCACACGCAGACGTGACCCTGGGTAGTAAGAAGTGACCTCTGGTGCTCGGTTTGTTTGGGGCTGCGGGGGGCGACCAAACAAGCGCGCAAGACGTTACTACCGCTTGGCGTTCGGCGGTCGCGGGACCCCCGTGGGCGCGCACCGAAGGTCACTCCGGCGAAGAACCACACTTACGTGTAGTCCAAAATACCTACCCATCAGTCGGAAGAAGTAGGTAGAAACACGACGTAGGAAAGGATTGAAGGTAGATTGGGTGTTCGCCCGCCCCCCGACGAGGACGAAAAAGGTGAAGCCACTCGATCATTGAAGTAGGACGGCGGTTAACGCAAATTGGAATCTGGGGATCCAAAAACATATACTTTCAACGACGATGGGTACGGTCAACGACCGGCGTGGAAACAGGCGGGTGAGCAGAAGCGTGCCCTGTGCGCCTTCGGGGTCCCACGAGGGCTCCTATGGGGCCGCCCTCCTCCAACCCTTCACAGTCCCCCTCCATCGCCGTCCCACCTTCCAAAATGCCCGTCGACATGGTTCTCGCCTTCGTTCTGACGGTTGAAGTGTGCTAGCCGCTAACCCCGTGCATGTTTTATTTTTATGCAGGTCTTTCTTCGCAAGATGACCCTAAGTGCTCCCTAATGCCCCCCTCGAGCAAAAAATGCACACGCTCGAGCGATGCCAAGGGTTTTGACAAGGCCGAACTTCCAGAGTCGTGCGTGGCTCCCAAGAGGTAGTGCCCTCTTCCTCGAGGACGGCGCCGTCATTTAGGAAAACCCAGAAGCTGAAAATTGCCCCCCAAACTGCCGGCCGTGACTTTTCCACGACGAGATGTGGATGCCAGGACAATTCCACAGCTCACATCGGAAAGAACAGCTTCGGCCAAGCTGAAGTGGACCGTTCAGAGGGAACCGTCCCAGGGGGAGAGCACCGACCTGAAATCGGCGATACATCGGCGATATACAGCCGATAGCCAATCCGCAAGGTCCTGGGAGGAGGAGGAGGAGGATGAGGAGGAGGAGGCGGAGGCGGAGGAGGAGGAGGAGGAGGAGGAGGAGGAGGAGGAGGAGGAGGAGGGGGAGGAGGAGGAGGAGGAGGAGGAGGAAGAGGAGGATCCCCCCCTGAGCCGTTCCCCCCTTATATCCTCGCCCCTGGCTTTCGGGGGTCATAGCTCGGCTCTCTGGCGGCCGCTCTGGACTATCTGGGCACCCCCAGAGAGCTTTCGGCGAGGCGCAGCTGCTGGAAAGCACCCCGAGGCTGGGAAACCGCCGCGCACCGACCGAAACGCCCGAAAACCTCTCAAGCCTCGAACGCCCGAAAACATCGACCCTCCATGGAGGCAACGAAGAGTGCCGCACCTCGCTCGATAACGTTGCCCCTGGAGGGAGGTGTGGCCTGGGCTACACAACAGCCCTCCCTCTTCGCCACAGCCTCGGGGGCGTCCAAGGGGGGGGCGCCCAAGAGGAAGGATGGGGGAGAGCTCCACCCCCCACCCCCCTACAGTCGGACTTGATTGGACAGGACACCCGAAAGGACACGCGACTCTTCCAACGGCAACGTGGCCCCAGAACAGCAGATGGCATGCGGATTGTACGAGCAGGTCGGGATAGACAGGACACAGGGGTATCCTTGATTCGGCATGGTCGACCGACCAATCAGGGCCGACTGTAGTCAGCACCCCCCTCGGGGATCTACTGGCCAAGATCAATCCAAACCCAGGTCAGTCAGGCCCTGCAGGATCCTGCAAGATCCTGCAGGACGCTGCAGGATCTTCCACCCAATCCCGGGTCGGTGCAACCCTGGCCTGGCATCATCCTGCAGGATCCAGCGCTCACACTGACCCCCGCTTGCATTGACCCCCGTCGCTTCAGCCTCGACCGGGCCCCGACCCCGGTTTCGCGTGGATGTCGTCGTGGGCCCAAGCTCGGGGCAAGAGGGGGGGCGTCCAAGAGGAGGGGACGCAAACCATGGCCGGCGGCATGTGCCCTGCCCGAGGGGGGGCCAGGGAAGGCATGAAAGCAGAAGAGGCGCCATGACCTCTGGGGGAAGATCATGGCCCACGCCATGCGATCCACCCCCCCATAGGTCATCCACCCCCCTCTTGGCCGCCCCCGACGAGCGGGGCACGAGAACACAACGGCTCGGGCTGCCGAAGCCGGCGTGCTGCCGCTGGCCGCCTCGGGAGGGCAAAATCAGCGGGCGACGCGCCCGCCGCCGCGGAGGAGGTCGATATGGGGGGCCCCCCGGCCCCCGCTTCGCCACGGGCCCCCCGGCCTCGACCCAGCGCGCCGTGGGCGGCCGGGGCGCGCCGTCCGCGCTGGCCGGGCCGGAGGGGAAGAGGACGGCGAGGAACGCGGCGGAGGCGCCCTCGGCGGCGGGCTCCTCCTTGGCGGCGCTCGGAATGCCCAGACGGAAACGAAGGCAGGAGGACCCTCGTCCTCCTTCTGCTCCTCCTCCTCCTCCTGCTTCACGTTCTTCACGTTCTCCCCGTCCTCCTCCTCCGCGTCCTCCTCCACAGAATGATCCTCCTCTCCCTCCTCCGCCTCCCCCTCCTCCCCCCCCCTCCTCCTTCTCCCTCCTCCTCCTCCTCCTCCTCCTCCTCCTCCTGCCTCCATCAGCGTTGCCTCCAGTCATTCTGTCCAACTTTCAGCCGAGCTCGTGGGATCTCCTTTGCGGCGGGCACAACCCTAAGAGATCAAAGAGGAGCCGCGTGGTGTACCAAGCCCCGACTCCCTATCAGGCAAGCAGCCCCAGGTGCTGCCGTTCAAGCGTTCGAGTCGCCACAGCGAAGCCGAACCCTCCCCGAAGTCGTGCGATGGTCCTCCTCCTTCTTCTCGGCTCTGGGGGGCTGTTGGGCGCGCGGGTCGCTTCTCAGAGGTCTTCCCGCCTCAGCGTGCGATCCAGCAGCCCCTCCTCGCCGAGGGCGTTCTGGGGGAGGCCCAGATCGTCCCCGGAGCCAGACATCCCCGCGTCTCGGAGAACTCGCCCTGGGTCTGTGCTGGCAATGCTTGGCCCCCCCTGGGGGGCCCCTGCCGGGCCTGGGGGTCGGCAGCAACACGGCTAAGGATACAGGGACAGGCCAGTCCCCGGGATGGGCTCCTCCCGGCGGCGCTCTGGGCACAGATTGAGAAGAACGCGGGATGACGATACATGTAAAGGCCTCCCAGATGGGGTCCGAGCAGATGGGGTCGGAGGACCGCGCCGCATCGGCGATGCATCGGCGACGTCGCCGGTGCATCGGCGACGCCGGCGTGGATAACATCGAGCTCCACATCGAGCCGTATCGGCGATGCATCGGCGACGCAGGCAGTGAATTGGCGACGCATCGCCTTCTGCTCAATTTCAATCGCTCTGCATCTGCGATACGGACCGATTGGGAAGAAGGCGACGACACACTCCCTGAGACCCAGGCGCTGATTTTGTTGACGCCGGGCGTCTTTTGGCGGCACGCAGCAGGGGACAGGGGGGAGGGCGGAAGGCTTCTTAGGAGGAGGCCTGTTTCTTAGAAGGCGCCTGCCTACATCTACAGACAGGGCCCGCGCGTTCTCGGAAGCAGGGGTGCTTCTGAGAAGCCCTCCCCCCTCTCCCACAGCCCCCTCTGCGCGTGGCCGAGTCTTCGTGTTGTCTCGGGCCCTGAGGCCACCACGGACCGCTCCGGCTGAAATAATACTGCAGTAAGAGGAGGTCTGGGGCGCCCAGGCTACCCCTTACATCCTCGCGACGTCAGAAGAATGGCGACGAGCGGTGCTTGACAATTTGCGGCCCTTGCTGGTCCCTGCCAGGCCTCAGTGCCATCAACAAGAAAAGCTAGACACCATGTACAGCCAGCCCCAGGCTGGGGATTAGACCTCTGGGATGGCACGTCGTGACAAAATCGCGACGACGGATGTCTGGGTCCGCCCTGCCCCCTCCAACTCGATCCTTCCTCCTGCCATCTCGGCCTCTCTTCCCGAAGCGACTGCCCCAAGAGGAGACCAGGCAGAGCGCCAGCTCGGGCGCGCGGTGGCGCAATGCGCAGCCCGTACCCCCAGACGTCCGGCGCCCCGATATCTGCACAAACCGGCCTACCCCAAGAGATCCTGGACCCCTTTCTGGGGCCAACTGTTCGTCCTGATCGCGATTCCTGCACCACCTGCTCCCCCCAAAGTTCCCCCTGGAACCCTTTCCCAGGGGACCGTTTTTTCGTCTTGAGCGAAACTTCTGCACCACCTGCCCCCCCCCCCCCTCTAGAGTTCCTCCTTGGGCCTTTCCTGGGGGGGCGGCTTTTCGTCCTGAGCGCGAATTCTGCACGCAACCTGGCCCAGAAAGAATTTTTCCTGGCGGCCGTCTCTCATCCGATTTCTGCACACAACCAGCCACCTCCCAGAACCCCTCCCAGGGGCCAGGTTTCTGTCGTGAGCGCGAGTTTTGCACGACCCCCCCCCCCCCACAGAATTCCTCCAGGAACCTTTCCCAGGGGGCCGGCTTCTCGTCCCGAGCCGCCCGCTTTTTGGCGGCCCCTGGGCCCGGCGAGGGCCCCCCAGAGGCCGAAAACTGCCCAACCCACCTGGCGCGATCTCTCCCCCAAGGGCGCCGCGCCGCGCCCACTGCGCGAGCGCGTCGAGCCACCAAGGAGGAGGAGGAGGAGGAGGAGGAGGAGGAGGAGGAGGAGGAGGAGGAGGAGGAGGAGGAGGAGGAGGAGGGGGGGAGTAGGAGAAAGAGGAAATGGAGGAGGGTGAGGAGGAGGAGGAGGAGGAGGAGGAGGAGGAGGAGGAGGAGGAGGAGGAGAGAGGGAGGAGGAGGAGGAGGAGGAGGAGGAGGAGGAGGAGGGAGATGGAGGAGGAGGAGGAGGAAGAGGAGGAGGAGGAGGAGGAGGAGGAGGACCCTAACCCGAAACCTCGTGGCACTGGGCCACCAGTTGTTCTCCACAGCGGCCATAGGTGCCGCTGAGATGGCAGCGCGCTGCCGACGCTCAATGCGGTGTTTGGGCCTGGTGTGGCCTTGCACACCAGGCCTCAGCAGCCCCGTACCGCCACCGCCCACGATCGTGGGGGGTGGGAAGTGGGGCAGAGCCACTGTCGGGGCGGACTGGCAACCCAAGTCCACCCCCGTGTTCAGAGGCCCCCGTGGGGTTGTCGCCTGGCTGACAAAACCCCAGAGCTCGGGTTCTAGGGCTGGATGCATAATAACGCGCCGTGAGTCCAGGAAAGGAGCTCTGACCCAGGAAACAGCTGTGGGCCGAGGCGAAGCTGCAGCCCTGTGCCGCGGAAGAGTGTGCAGCGCTCCTTCCCCCTGAGGCGGGGTGCCTGACACGCGCGCAGGACCACACATGTACGCACACACGCACAGTACTCAGTTGGGCCCAAATGTGGCGTTGCACACCTGGCCACAATCCCTTTCCTCCGCCGCCTGTGGTGGGGATGTGGGAAGGTGGATCTGGGCAACAGTCAGGGTGGGCAAGGGAGCCCAGTTCCACCCCCGTGCCCAGCAAAGAAGTAGCGCCGAAACAGCACTCTGCAGTGAAAAGGACGGCATGCCTCGCCTGGCTGGCGGTACCCCAAAGCTCGGGTACCAGGGCTGGCTGCGGGACACCAGCACCGCCAGTCGGGGCGAGAAACAAACCCCCAGATCGAACCTGCATCGGGCCAAGGCGTATCTGCGGCCATTGCCGCAGGAGAAAGAAATGAGCGCTCCTTCCCCCTGAGCCGGGGTGCCTGACACGCGTGCGGGGAGCGCGCTCGCACACACGCACAAGTACACAGTGGATGAGGCGATGCCAGGACGACTCGGCACTGCCCACCCCTGGTGTAGAGAACGCCAGGACGGTGGGCAAGCCTCATCCCTGGTGTGGGCCTGCTTGCGCCTGGGCTTAAGCTGCCTCTCTGAGCAGCTGCTCCAGCGGCACGGGAGGGAGACTGAGCACAATCGGGCTGGCGGCGGTACTCTTGGGGAAACGGCCACACTGTGCTCTCTGTAGCTGCAGCTTAGCCCCAGTATGGGGCGGTCTCAACTTACAATCACCAGACAAACCTCTCGAATTGCCGTCCTTACAGGAACCACACTTGTGGCACAACAGAAAACTTGTTGGCTGTTCGAGGTGCTCGTAATATAACAAATTATGCCCCCTGGGGGTGGAGGCTGGGCTGGACATCTGGGGGCAGTGCCCAGGACAATCCATTGCACTGCATCGCTCCTCATATGCTTTGAACGTGCGGACGCGGATGCGGCAAATCGTACATCGGCGCTGGCCATTCACTATCGCCCAGACATGGGCCCTCGGAATCTCGCGAGGGGCCACAGGAGGAGGAGGGGGAGGAGAGGCGAAGGCGTGGCCCCAGGGTCTCAGGAGGAGGAGGAGGAGGAGGAGGAGGAGGAGGAGGACGAGGAGGAGGACGAGGAGGAGGAGGAGGAGGAACAGGAGGAGAAGGAAAAGGAGGAGGACGAGGAGGAGGAGGAGGAGGAAGAGGAGGGGGAGGACGAGGAGGAGGAGGAGGAGGAGGAGGAGGAGGAGGAGTGCCGAAGGAGGATGATGAGGACTCGATGCAGGAGGAGAAGGAGGAGTACTGAAGGAGGATGGGAAGGACTCGAGCAAAGAGGGAGAGGATGAGGAGCAGGAGGCAGGAGGCAGGAGGAAACATCCAGTAGTCAAGTGCCTTGATTTGATGCAGCGAGGCATCACCCCCCGAGACACAAGAAACAAACCAACTGAGAAAAGCAACCCGTCGTGGTTCTTGGTCGCGACGCGAGGAGGTCAGGAGAAAGAAACGCGAAGGGGGCGCTGCGGGCCAAGCTCCAGGCCGAGGCCGGCCGTGGCGACGACAGGGGCCTCCCGAAGCCCCGCCCCCGGAACAAAAAAAACCCTGAAGTCATACCTGCGACGACCGGGCGGTTTTCGGAAACCCTGAACCCCAAACACTTTTTCAGCTTCAAGTCGGGCGTGTCCCCCTACAGGCGGATCTTGGGCGAAACCATGAAAATAGTGAAACATGAAAATAACAAATATTCGAACCTATGTTTAAAAGTCCCCCGACTATGTTTGCACTATTTTGGAATATACCTCCTGTAGAAGAAGACACGCCCGACCTAATTTCAACTCTTGGAGGTGCACTTTTGGCTTCCGCCGCCTTCCGCCGCCCTTCCGCCGGCGTCCGCCGGTGAAAGGGCGGCCTCGTTTTCTGCGTCCGCCGGCCGTCCGCCGTCAGCCGTCCGCCGCGGAAGAGGTGACAGCTCCTTCTGCTCGCGAGGGCAAGGCCCCTGGAACGCCCCACCTGTCTTTCTCCTCTCGAGCAAACAGGTCAGACATGAGACCCCGAGATGTCTGCGGTGGAGGTTTTAGATAAGCGTGCCTCCGATAAGGAACCCAGGGTCTCGCGGCCGATGGGCGGCCAAACGTGGGCCACCCGCCTCGCCTTCTGAAACAAGAAGGACTGCGCCAGGGTCTGGGCCCCAGGAAGACGTTCCTTATCCGATGCCGCCGCCGTGTTCCGTCCCTGGGCTTGACGGCCCCGGAGCCTGGCATGGCCGACGAGACATTGCCAAGCACCGTCCGTCTAGATCGTGTCACGACGCGAGGCTGTCAGGGTGCGACGCCGACATTTCGACACCTGGGCATGCTCCGGGGCGCGTCCTGGCCAAGAGCTCCGGGGGGAGATCCGGCCGTGGCGACGAGAGCGCCCCGGGGAGAGCCACAAAGGCAGCCCAGAACTGCCGAGAGCCGTCCGTCGCGATGCTCCACGACGCCTGGCCATCGCTCGGACGTCCGTTCCCTGTGTTTTTCTTGGTTTCGTGCGTGGTTTTTTGGCCAAATGATCAAGGATGCTCCTCGATGGACCTCGCCGAAGGAAAAATGCACACGTCGGAGCGATGCCAAGACGCCGCGACGATGTCGGGGCACCGAGGACAAACACCTCGAGCGTCCCTCCTCGAGCCCCGGCCCCCGACCCCAGGAGGGGCGGCGTCCTCGCAGACCAGCACCTCCACGCCTCGCTCCGTCGCGGCGGCCGCGACCTCCGGGGGCACACCGGTGGGGCTGCTTGCTACAGTCGGGGCGTTGACCTGAGGAACCCTAAATAAGGAACGAGGCCCCTTTTGTCCATAAGTTAAACTTTTATTTCCGATCGAAGACATAAGGACAACCTGAGGCAAGCTGTGAAACACTTAAGGAACGCGGAGCCCCTCCCCAACGAAAAAAAGGGTTCCTTCTTCAGGGCCCGGACTGTACTACGGTGTGGGCATTGGACAAGGAACCCTTTGATCAGGAATCCAGGGTCTGGAAGCCAATGGAACTCCCATCGTGGATCGGCCATGGACATCACCGCCGCCCTCGTTGGATGCGGAGTCCTCCAGGGTCTGGCGCCTCCTGGGACTATTATCTATTCCTGAACAAACGCCTCCACCGTATTATTTCCGGAAGCGGTTCATTTCTTCCGCGAGCCACGCCACCGACACGTCCGACTCCACGTCCCCTGCCACACTGCTGGTCACCTCCCCGCTGACACGCCTCGAAAAACACGCTCGCTCCTGTCTGCAAGCCGCCGGGCCGCCAAAGCACGTTGGCTCCGTCCGGACTGCACCAAACTTGTACACTCGAGACCCACGAAATCAAATGAGCCTCATTCGGAAGCTGGGCGAAGGCCGGCGAATACGTGTCTGCTAAAACGGTATTCCCGGAAGAAAAACATGATCGACCCACGAACCCGGAAAGGAATAAAGAAATGTAAGGCATGGCAACGCTTCGAAGGCACCTGATTGGGCGACGGGCAAATGCAATGCTGAATGTATCGATCTTGATGTACCGTGCCGAAGGCTGTGCTGTGCTGCACCGTGCTGAATTGCGATGTGCCATGCCGCGATTGTGCCCTATAGCGTTGTGGATCGAGTCCTCCTTTGCATCCGAGTCTTGACCGAACTGATCCGGATCTGAAGCTCGAGCTGCCTCAGCACATAGTAGCTGCCCCACAGCTAATTGACAGGGGAACATGACAGGATGATGCGCCGCGGAGCGTCCCATGGGACGCGCCAGGCGACATGTCAGGGGACTTGCCATGGGGACGCACCTCGGGACGTGCCAAGGGGACGCGCTACGGAACGTGCCAATGGACGTGCCACGGGACGTGCCAAGGGACGCGCCGCGCGACGTGCCAGGGGGACTCGCCACGGGACGCGCCACCGAACGTGCCAGGGAACGTACCAAGTTGCAATGCTGATTGTATCGATCTTGATGTACCGTGCCGAAGGCTGCGCTGTCATGCGACGTGCAGAATTGCGATGTGCGATGCCGCGGTTGTGCTCTAAGTATTGTGGATCGAATCCTCCTTTGCATCCGAGTCCTGACCGAACTGATCTGGATCTTAAGCTCGAGCTGCCTCAGCACATGTAGCTGCCCCAAAGCTAGTTAATTGACCAGGGGGCATGCCAGCAGGACCCGCCGCGGAACGTCCCAAGGGACGCGCCAGGCGACGTGCCAGGGGACGTGCCACGGGGACGCACCGCGGGACGTGCCGAGGGGACGCGTTGCGAAAAGTGCCAATGGACGTGCCACGGGACGTGTCAGGGGACGCGCTCCCAAGGCCCCGACCCCTTGTAAATTACGCTGCGCCCGCGCTCCGAGGGCCACGATCCCTCGCACATTACGCGTGGTCCGCGCTCCAAACGCCACGATCCCTCGTAGATTACACCGCGTCCGCGCTCCCAGGGCCTCCTGGGGCATGCTGGGGCGCCCAGGTCCTTCAAGTTTTGTCAAATAAGCGTTTCGCTCGAGACATCCTTTGGCGCGGGGGGCGCACCATCCTCGAGCGGGCTCGCAAAAACTCAACATTGTCGCGCTTTCCGCGCCGCGTTGGACTTTACCTTGTTTTTTTTATACAGGAAAACGGAGGTCCGCGGACCCCGTTATTTATCAAGGATCCGAAATGGGGGGGGCGACTTTTTTCAAGCGGGCACGCGCGACAAGCACTTTCTGCGCCGAATTCGATTTCACCTTGTTTTTCATGAAGAAGAAAAGGGGTCCGCGGACCCCGTTATTTATCGAGGATCCGAGGTGGGGGGTCGACTTTCCTCGAGCGGGCACGCGCGAAACGCATTTTTTCACGCCAAATTGGACTTGGCCTGTTTTTTTTCGAGCGGAAATCCGCTGGCCTCCTTCAAGTCAAAGCAGGGGATAAACACACTGAAAAAGAGAACCCTGGGCCCGCGCCCTTTCCGGGAACAAATTTCTGAAACAAAACTCAGCACACAAAATAATAAACGGGCTGCTTCCCTGAAGAAGCAATTTCCCGGAGCGCCGTCTTAGCAGCCACGGAATTGCCAGCCTTCGCCTGGCGTCTGACTCATTCGCCCTAAGCCTGGAGAGGCCCTGGGAAGCATCATGATGTGAACCTGGGACGCGCGTTCCTGAAGCAAGCACGCCCTGGTGTCCCCGGGCAAGGTAACGGTAACGCTCCGGCGGGGTGGGGCACGTGGGGGGGGGGGCGCAGTGCGATCGCCACAGCCAGTGGCCTCGCAGATGGGGTCCGAGTGGATGGGGTCGGAAGATCGCGCCGCATTGTCGATGCATCGCCGATGCATCAGCGATGCCTCGACAACGTCGGCGATGCATCGGCGACGTCGGCGTGGAGCAAATCGGGCTCCACACCGAGCCGCATCGCCGATGCATCGGCGGTGCGGCGCGATCCCCGACCCCAGCTACTGGGACCCCAGCTGGGAGGCCTAGAACAACACATGCGCGCGCCAGCATGCGGGGAGGATCCAGCCCCCCCTCACATACAGTCATCGGCCTGACCTAAGGAACGATGAATTAGGAACGAGGCCCCTTTTTTCAAGGAGTAACGCAAAAGGAACGACAATTAAGACATAACGCATAAGGAACGATAAGTAACGCATGCATACCTAAGGAACGACCGAGCCCCTTTTGAAAAGTAAAGTGCTCCTTGTTCAAGCTGCTCACTGTACGGTCCAAAACCAACAGCGGCTGCTGCGGCCTTCTGTCTCACATGGGCACCTTCCGCGCGACACCGACAGCGAGTCCTCTTCAACATGATGAAATGCTGTCGGTCTTCGTGCCCATTCTATCCGTGCACGTTTCGATCGCGCCGAGCTGCGCGCCAAAGGTGGAACAGTCGAACTGAACCCTTGGGTGTCGCTTAACCCTGAGAGGTCTTTAGAATCCCCCTCCCACTAGGGGGTACCAAATTATTTTTTCGGCGGCCTTATTGAGGAAATGGGGTCCCGCCAACAGGGTGTAACTAATTGTTTTTGTTCCGCGGCACCCGCCGCGCAACACCGACGACGACAGGATAGGTGGAGGAGGAGGAGGAGGAGGAGGAGGTTTCAGGACCAGTCTAATTCACCGCCGAGAGAAAATGGGGGAAGGGCCAAGACTTTGTTGATGGGGGGGGGGGGCGATGCGTGGGGGGGGGGGGGGGCAAGAAAGGTGCACGTCTCGGGCCCCACATGCCCCCGCGGGGGGGCCCCCTACAGGGAGCCCTTGCGGGCCCCTTCTCTGCAGCCCTCGCCCCGTCCCCCCCCACCCCCGATTTACAGTCGAACCCAGGACCGAAGGGCATCCCCTCGGGAGAGCACGAGACGCTCCGTTGGCCAGAGCACGCAGAACAGCCAAGGATGCCCTCCCCAGGGCTGCACGAGAACGGCCGGCAGGCACGAAGAACATCCGGGTGCACTCCCCGAACCGACCTCGACCTCATACCCGGGTCCGACTGCAACGCCCCCCCCCCCCCCAGGCACGCGACACCCAAAGCCCTAGCCTGAGGGGCAGCGATAGGGGGGAAAGGTTATGGGGGGGGGGTGCATCAACCCAGAATCGGCGTTTGAATTGACGACAGATCAGCGATGAGCCCCCGACGATTGGCGAATCCGCACCTTCCTGGGTGGGGTGGGGCTATCGGGCCCCTCTCGGCGATCCATGGGCGATTGGGGCGCGTTGCATCCCTCCTATGCCCATCTAAAACAGGGCTAGGATCGGGATAAATCGCTCCAGAGCGTTCTAGAGCGCTCTCAGAGCGCTCTGGAACGCTCTGGAGCGACCGCGGCGCCAAATACATCCTCCAAACCCGCCGATTCTCAGAGATTTCGAGTTATCCCGATCCGATTTTGTCCCGATCTTCGCGTCGTTTTGCCATCCCCCCTATCGTTGCCCCCGATGGCCACCGTCAACACCCCGGACCAGCCCGGGCCGCGCCGGGGGACTCCTGGGCCGGCCACGAGAGCGAGCGGCCGAGAGCTCCTACAGACGCGGGGCAGGCAGCGCAGGGGGCCTCCCTCCCACGGGCAGGCGACCACGCAGTCAACCCCCATGCACAGTCCGACCGAGGACAGAAACACATCCTTGAGGACGCCCAGGGACAGACAAACAAATACACACAACTCCCAGGAATCCCCCTATTTTCCTATATATATATATATATATATATATATTTTTTTTTTTTTTTTTTTTTTTTTTCTTTTTTTTTTTTTCTCTGGGTGTTCGTCTTCCCCCCCACAGTGAGGCGCCACCATACAGTGAACCCATCTACAGTCGGACTGAGGATTTTTTGTTGTGGACTCCGCCTGGGATCATTGGAGGACGCCCGCAGGACGAAAGGGAGAAGAGGGGAGAGGAGGAAGCAAGCAACACTGTGTGGCAAACCTGACGCGACGCACGCACGCGCGGCACGACTCACTGCCAGTGGTGTGACATAGCCGCGCCCTGCGGCAGTCGCTGCATTCGACGGCCGGTGGACGCAGCTGGACATCACGAGGCGGATCGCTAGGACGATCGAGGAGATGCGGACGATCACCGGGCACGTTGTAAAGCGGCTCAGCACTGGAGCCGCCGGACTGAGGACAGAAGAGCAGCCTTCAAGAACATGAGGCCCTCCGACGGCCAAACCGAAGAACCTTCGAGGGCACCGCCCCCCCGGGTGCACAAGAACATCACACAGGGGCACGGCGAAGATTGAGGCACCCTCCCCGAACCGAGCTCGGTCTTATGCCTCGGCCCGACTGAAGCAAGGATGCGCGGTAAGGATGCAGGGGCCTTGGACGCCCATGCCGAGGCTCTTCGGGCGGGGCTGGCCATCGAGAGTGGTGGAGGCGAGGCGAGGCGAGGCGAGGCGAGGCGAGGCGCCGGTCTGTCACCCCAGGGGTGGCGGCCCTACGAGAGCCCGGCGGTGGCGGCAGAGCGCCGAGAGAGATAATTATACAAATGGGGCCAGCCATCCGCTCATCCGTAGGCGTTCGGAGGTGGGAGCCGGAGGGCGTCGGGGTTATGCGGCATAGCTCAACCCCTCGAAAGTAGCTGAGGATGCACCGAAGATGGCCGACGAGGCCAGGGTGCCAGGGGTACCCTGGGGACTGCAACATGCGGTGAGTCAGTGGAGACTCGGGCCGCTCCCCGAGGACGCCTCGGGCAACTGGGGCCTCCAGGGTCCCAGACGCGTGCGGTGACGGAACGTGCGGTGAGGTCTCCGTGAATTTCGACTTTGCAGCGCGGTCCGTCACCACACCTTTCCAGGAGATCTGAGAGCCGACGACGCGAACGCAAATCAAAAAGTACTGCATCGTGAAAAATCACGTCCGGAGCCCTAGACCGCATCTCTCTGCACCGCTTGTCGAGCTGGATCGATGTGTGTCGAGCCGGATCGATCTGTGATGGTCCTTGAACCCGAAGCTGGGCGAAAAGGCCCGGCCAGAAAAACACGCAACGCCCAGGCCCGGATCACAGGGTTTCGGGCCCCCCCCCAGATTAAAGCAGGGCGGGGCGGGGGCTTAGTCGAAGTTAAAAAAAGCTAAGGCAATTTTTGGGGGGGCGTTTTCCCGAGGGATCTTTAAGCCCCTATCCCAAACTTCGTGGGGTTTTCGAGCGGATTAAACATGTTGGGCACAACCCGTGGATGTAGGACAAGGGGGGCACCCATCCTCGACAGGGGTGCGTCGGTTTGGGGCCCCCCTGGGGTGCATCCCCGAGTTCTCCTCCTCTCCTCAGGGGCCTGATTTCTCGTGGAACGGTCGGGGGGGCTGGGGGCGAGAAGTCGCCTGCGCGCTCTCGACCACGCGGCTCGCGGCCAGCAGAAGCGTGCGGGGAGAAGCGGCAGCCCCAAAACGGGTGCAGCAACGGCAGCCCGCCGAGCCCCCAGCGAGCGAGCACGGAACAAGATGAGTCCCAATGTGAAGCACAAGGCACGGGCCCCACACGGAAACAGCACAAAAAGAACGCTGATCTCGAGCACAGAACAGTGACGCCCCCAGCACTCTGAACGTCATCTGGTGGCAGGGGCGGGGGCACCCTGAGCTTCCTGGAGGGCTACACAGTAGCACCTGGACCTTGACGTCGAACATCATTTCGAGGTTTCAGGTCGTCCGGATCAAATTATTGTGAGCGCCCGAAATAGGTACAGAAAACATGGGTATGATGCCCAACGCCACATGTTGCCCAAAACAGACAGCGGCCGAAGTTCGGCAAGCGGCCTTCTGCCTCCGATGGACAACGTCCGCGGCGACACCGACAGCGAACCCTGTTCAAGACGGACAAGAACTGCTGTCGGTCTTCGCACCCATTCATTCCGCATCATTCTGGACGAAAAATGAAACATACCCCAAACATGCGCACAAACAGTCAAACATGGTAGAAAAATCGTCCCCATACTACGATGTCATAACTATTTTCGCATATCCCTCCTGTAGAGGTAAACTGTTGTTGCTCCGCGCGGATTCCTTGGATCCGCGACAGAACCCCCTCCCTGGCGCGCGGAGCGCGCCAGGGGCGGCGCCGGAGGCGCCGCCTGCGGGGGGGGCCCAGCGCGGATCCAAGAAATCCGCGCGGAGCGCCACAAGTTTGTGCTTATGTGTTTTTTCTTCCTCGGTTAAACCCACAGGTCTGGAGGGCTATGGCTTAGCACTCTGGAACTGGGCAATTTCTTAGGGTGGAAGGCTCAGGGTGACATCCACATGGGCTTTTGCACTTCGAAAACCGAACCGTCTTGTGATGCGACTTTCGCAGAGTCAAGCCTCGAACATCCATCGAGACGGCATTTCAGACTCCACCCCCCTGGCGCCCCACCCGCACTGGCCATCGCTCGGACGTCCATTTCCTGTGTTTTTGTTCGGTTTCGTGCGTGGTTTTTTCGCCAAATGGTCAAGGATGCTCCTCAAGGGTCCTCGCCGAGAAAAAAATACACACGTCCGAGCGATGGACTGGGCCCCCCTGGCGACCGACGGCCGCGGCCCGCGGTGCAGCTGCCGGCCCGGGCCCCTCGCCTCGCCCAGCGCCACCTCCCGGGCGCACCTCGGCGGTACTCGCGGGTGTGGGAGAGAGCTCCAGGCAGCGCACCGCCGCCAGCCCTGGCCAGGCCTGTCGCCCCGAGATCGTATACGCACTGAACAAATCCAGGCGGAGGTTTTTCTTCAGCTTTCGGCCTCTACGGGCCCTCGCCGGGCCCCAGGACCGTCAAAAGACGACTCAGGATGAAAAACCGGTCCCGGGGAATGGGTCGAGACGTCCGGGGACCCCGCGTTGAACAAATCGCGACATCGGATCTCTGGGCGTGGGCTCTGGACTAGTGTACAGGCCGTCCTGGCCCAGGCCAGGAGGTCTGTACACGGATCCAGGGCCCAGGAACAGTGCGACAACCGCCGGTTTCGCCCGGCTGATTTCGCCCAGCTGGTTTCGCCCAGCTGGTTTCGCCGCCGGGCGAAACCAGCTGCCGTCGGCGAAACCAGCTGCCGTCGGCGAAACCAGCTGCTGTCGGCGAAACTGCCCGATCCGACCCGCCCGCTAGGGTGCGCCCGCACGACCCGACCCGCCCGTTAGGGTTCGCGCGTGCTCGGTCGAGAGTGCCCCACACTTGAATGTCCCGCCCGCCCGATCCGACCAGCCCGCCCGCCCGACCCGACCCGACCCCCAAGGTCCGCCCACCTGACCCGACCCGCCAGTCAGAGTTCGCGGGTGCTCGGTCGAGCGTGCCGTACACTTCAATGTCCCGCCCGCCCGACCCAGCCCGCCCGTTAGGGTCCGCCCGCCCGACCCGACCCGACCCGCCCGCTAGGGTCCACCCACCCGACCCGACCTGCCCGTTGGGGTTCGCGCGTGCTCGGTCAAGCGCGCCCAATTTAATGTCCCGACCGCCCGACCCGAGCCGCCCGTCAGGGTCCGCCCGCCCGACCCGACGCCGACGGCAGCGGCGGCGGCGGCGGCGACGAAGACGACGACGACGACGCCGACGGCGGCGACGGCGTCGGCAAAACCAGCCCAGGCAAAACCAGCGCCGGCGAAACCAGCGCCGGCGAAACCAGCCGCCGGCCCGGCGAAACCAGCAGGGCGAAACCAGCGAGCGGGGCGAAATCAGCGCTGGCGAAAGCAGCCGTCGGCGAAACCAGCCGTCGGCGGAACCAACGCCGGCGACACCACCGCCGGCGAAACCGGCTCACGCCGGAAGCGCCTGGCCAGTGCTGGTGGTGGCGTCCCTCCGCCGAAGGGGGGGCGACCCGCAGCTGCGCGTGCTTATGCGGGCGGCGCAGCACGCGGCGGCCGCGAAGGATCGATATGTACCCAGGCCCCCTCGCGCTGGGAACCAAAAGTAGCCTGGCGAAGGGCCCAACCAAATGCAGCTGTGAGTGGCGCAGTCTTGAGTATCGTCTTCGGTGGACCTCCCTATGGGGTCACGAAGCGTGCGAGGAATGTACCGAGATGGGCGCGGTAAGCGCATAGGAACGCAGCCACTGGGGCCATAGGTGGAGCTCCATAGAGGGCCACGGTATTCCGAAATGGGCGGGGCGGACGCATGTGAACACCGCCACTGGGACCTTCGGTAGGGCTCCCTATGGCATGGGCGTGGCGGACGCATGCGAACACCGCCGCTGGGGCCTTCGGTGGGGCTCCCTGTGGGGCCACGAAACGTGTGAATGGTGAGCCGAAGTGTGTGGGGCGGACGCACGATAACTCCGCCACTGTGGCCGTCGGTGGCGCTCAGTATTGGTGCCACGACACGTGTGAGGGGTGTGCCGAAATAGGCGGGGCGGACACATGCGAACACCATGGGGCCGTCGGAGGAGGTGCCTGTGGGGCCACGAAACGTCTGAGAGGTGTGCCGAAATGGGTGGCGGGGGCGCATGCGCACGGCATCAGTGGGGTCTTAGGTGAAGCCTTCGTTGCATGGGGCCACGGAAAGTGTGAGCGGTGTGCCGAAGTGTGTGGCGGGGACGGATGCGAACTGCACCACTTGGGCCTTGGGTGGAGCTCCCTCTGTGGCCACGGCACATGAGAGGGAAGTGCCGACATGGGTTGCGGGGACGCGCGTGGACGCAGCCAGTGGGACCTCAGGTGTAGCCCCAGATAGGGACACGAAGCGTGTGAGGGGTGCGCCGACATGGGTAGCGGGGACGCACGATGCCGCAGCCACGGGGGCCTTGGGCGGAGCTCGCTATGGGGCCACGAGGCGTGTGAGGGAGGGTGCGCCGGCGTGGGCGGCAGGGGCGCCTGCGGCCGCAGCTGGTGGGGCCTCAGGTGGAGCCCGCTTTGGGGCCACGACACTTGTGAGGGGCAGAGGCAGCGATGGAAGTCCGGAGGAGCGCGAGGAGGAGGCGGGGGGAGGGACGCGGGGCGCTGTCTCTTGAGGACCCAACACCACAGGATGGCTGGGAATGACGGCAAGACGTGTTTTGATGTTTCCAGCCTCGGGGAGCCCTGCCCAAGCCTGGGGGCCGTCAGACAGCTCGGGATGAAAAGCCGGTCCCGGGGAATGGCTCGATACTGCCTGGGGTCCGCACTGTAAAAGAGCATGTCGTCGGAAGGTTGCGTTAAGTCGGGCGTGTCCCCCTACAGAGGAATGTTAGACGACAAAGTAAACATACTCAAAACATTCACCAGCAATGAAACAAAAATAAAAACTGTCAAAAAAATCTCCCCCGACAATCTGGACAATTTTTCATATTCCTCTTGTAGAGGGACATTCCGACTTAACGGTTGCATCCACACTAACGACGTTTTTGATAATTTTCGGCGACACCGGGCCCTGGCTGGGCCCCGGGACCGTCAAACAACCATCCGAGATGAGACACCGTCCTCCCGGAAGTGGTTCGGAAGTCTGGGGACCTCGTATTCATAAAAACACACAGTCGGAGGCCTGAGTCCGACGACGGACGTATTGGCTTCAGTCCCGGCTGTCTTCCATTGACTTTGGCCTCTGGATTCCGTTCTCGGGCCCCAGGGACATCAGAATTTGGATCTGGGGCGGAAGACCATACCCCCCCTGGGGAAGCGGTTGGGGCCTCTCTGGGGCCCCGGCTTGACGGGGGCCCATCAGCCCTCTGGGCGTGATACCCCTGGCCCCTGAGTTTCAAAATGTGGCTCTCGCCCCGACGCTAACGATCTCGCTCCGTCGCCCGCCCCCCCTGTGCGGACTCACCTGCTCTTCGTGCTGGCGATGACGGAGGCAGATAGAGGAGAGCGAGCGAGGGCCCTCGGAAGAAGAAGGAGAAGAGGAGGAGGAGGAGGAGGAGGAAGAGGGGGGGATCGTTAACCCTGACCTTCCACGAGGGCTGAAAAATAGCACCAGGACCTTGGCGTCTGCAAGTCCTGAAAGAAAACAGCCCGCAAACCAGCCTCGAACAGTCTTAAAACTACACCAAAGAAAAACCTCGATCAACTGGTGGTTTTGAATCGTGGGATCGATAAAGAGCTCGATACGGAGATCGACCGGGAACCCAAGAACCCGGAACCCACCGAAATCGGCCCGGAACAACCTGGGAACCCGGGAACCCGGCCGGCCACCAAAATCGGCGGGACACTTTCGCCAAATCTTTCAATTTCCGCTCGGACCCCTTCAGTCTTGTGGGAAAAAAACGCTCCGTGGAACGTGTGAGCAACGCTGAGATCGCCAACCTAACATCTGTCGGCGGAACACGCGATCTCAAGCTGCGCCTCGAACCGGTCTCAAGCCAGTACTCGCATGCACCGCGCAATCATAGCAAGCTGGAGCGGGAAGGAGCAGACATCAACCCCTAACCAGCCACGAGCTTGCCCCTGTCCCTAAGATTCACGAGCTACAAAGAAACGGTAATCTCAGGGACGCGCCCTCGGAAACTGAAAGGATCATCAATATCGGCATCAAGAGGACGCGATGTCGATCATGGGAGTAGGGATATGTTCCATGCGGTCACCCCGCCCCCGCCTGATAGGGCCTCGAAACCCTCTTGCCCAGCCCCAGCAGGGGAGAGGGGCCATGTGAGCAACGACTAAAAGGGGTCTTACGCGAGGTGGCGTAGCGACATGTAGCGACCTTACGCGGTGGCTTACGCGGGCCGCCAGCGCGGAACGCTACTTTGGAGACGAGGGCACTTACGCACGACCTTACGTGGGCAACTTACGCGGCAATGACGGCGAAGACGCACCCGTGTTCTGGCGTCGCTCAGGTGGCGGTGGGGGTGCGCTCTCTACCCAAAGAGATTCGGTTCCACAGGGCTGGCTTTCTTAGTGCCGGCTTTTCCCAAGGACCAGCCCGAGTCGTTTTCGGTTGTCCTGAAGCCGGAGGCCCGCGTCCATGATCTGGGGCGCTGGATGTCTGGGGCGGATGACCACAAAAACATCGCTGACAGAGCTGCCCCGATACGCAACACGCAACACGAAGCGTGTTGATATTGTAAGTCTGACGCGATCCGTTCGCCAAAACGTGGGCCAATACGCTGAGCCAACACGCAACGTATCGTATTGTCACGGACGTTTTACGCACGGTGCGCGTCGCGTTTCAACACGGGCGTATCGAGGCGGCTGAGGTCGTTGATGCATCGCCATTGCGCTGGCGGCGCTGGGCAGGAGAGCATCCCGTTAGGTCGGGCGTGTCCCCCCCTACAGGCGGATTTTGGGCGATGAGTGAGAAACAGCCAAACCATATGCAAACATACACCAAAATTCAACACAAAAATCCCCCCCATACTTTTTGCACTATCTTTGATGCTCCTCCTGTAGAGGGACAGGCCCGACTTACGCCTCCGGCTCCGGCCCCGCTCCGGGCGGGCCGCGGGCTCTCAGAGGGCCTCCACGGGCCAGGATCCGTCAGCACCGCATCAGGCCATCGGCTCGCATCGGGACGTGCGTCGGATCGGACCACCTCGGGTCGCGGCCCCATCTGGGAGTAACCAGCCTCGAACGCATCCCCATCCCTAAGATTAACAAGCCAAACGTCGACGACAATCTTAGGGATGCGCCCTCAGAAACGGAGGGAATCCTTAAGATCGGCATCGAGATGAGGCGATGCCAATCATAGGGATAGGGATATGTTCCAGGCTGGTGAGGGAGGCCTGGCGGGAGGTCTCTGGGCCACAGCCCACGCACGGTGGCGGCCCGGGGGCCGCTCGAAGCACTCACGCACTGCACGTCGACGGCCCCACGGAAGCCTTGGCCGCCTCGGATCGGGCCAGCCAGCATCGGTATCGAAGCGGGCCGATCGGGTCAAAGAGGACCCTGAGCGGGGGCTGGGCCCTTGCAAGGACCCCCCCTGGCCTAGAAGGCCACACCTCCTCAGCCCTCTCGCCCTGTTTCTTTTGCGCGGTGGGGCAGGGCTCACTTGCTGGAAGCCCAGGTGCAGGAACACCGTGCCTGGCCACACGACGGCCGAAGGCTGGGAAGACAGGTGCCCACGTCTGGGTCCAGGTCGACGCCGCAGGTTCCCAAACTATGGGGTGTTGGAGACGGCACCTGGCCCTTCCACCAGATGCCGGAACTCCTCGGCAGATCAGACCCAGACCCCGGGTTTCATGATCTGTTCATGACGTGGACCCCCAAGAGGTCTGGACGGTGCCGGGCCCAATGAGGGTGTCCAGAAGGATACCGGAGAGAAACCCAAATCATAATCTTTTTTGGGGCTATGGGCCTAAAGGGCAATAGGGCTATAGGGCTATGGAGCTATGGGGCTATGGGGCTAGAGGGCTACAGGGCTTGGGCTATAGGGCTATTGGGCTGTTGGGCTAGGACTATGGGGCTATAGGGCTATAGGGTTATTGGGCTATAAGGCTATAGGACTATTGGGCTACAGGGCTATAGGGCTGTAGGGCTGTAGGGCTGTAGGGCTAGAGGGCTAGAAGGCTAGAGGTCTAGAGGGCTATGCGGCTGTAGGGCTATAGGGCTATAAGGCTATAAGGCTACAGGGCTGTAGGGTTATTGGGCTATTGGTCTATAGGGTTATCGGCTATTGGGCTATAGGGCTATGGCTGTAGGGCTATAGGCCTATTAGGGCTAGAGGCCTGTAGGGCTATAGGGCTGTAGGGCTGTAGGGCTGTAGGGCTAGAGGGCTAGAAGGCTAGAGGGCTAGAGGGCTATGCGGCTATAGGGTTGTAGGGCTATAAGGCTATAAGGCTACAGGGCTGTAGGGTTATTGGGCTATTGGTCTGTAGGGTTATCGGCTATTGGGCTATAGGGCTATGGCTGTAGGGCTGTAGGGCTATTAGGGCTAGAGGCCTGTAGGGCTATGGGGCACCCGGGCACCCGGTCGGGCCGCCGGAATCGGCGACGCAGCTCCCGGGCACCCGGGTGGGCCGCCAAACTCGGTGGCGCAACTAAGCTAAACAAATGAATCCGCTAGGACCCCTACAGCGGCGAGCTCTGATTTTTAATTGGTTTTTCCCGTGATGATTTTCCCACGGAGCGAGGATGCGTGGCTCTCGGGCCAGCCCTCCAGCGGCCCTTCGGGATGATGCGGGCATCCCTGCAACGCTGTCGACGAGGCACAGACGCGGGGAAGCACGCGCAGGCGAGAAAACCCCCCAGAACCGACCCGTCGTGTATCTTTCACGGCGCGAGGGGGTCTGCGGTCGACGTGGTGTGCACATCTAGGGGGGCGAATAATGCCACAAACATACAAGCTCGGAGGCCTGCGCGGATTTCTTGGGTCCGCGCTGGACCCCCCCTCCCTGGCGTGCGGCGCGCGCCAGGGGCGGGCTGCGCCGGAGGCGCCGCCAAGGGTCTCCAGCGCGGATCTGAGAAACCCGCGCGGGCCTCCGAGCTTGTATGTTTATGTCACTGCTCGCTCCCCTCGGCATCGATCCCCTCGGCATCGATCCCCTCGGCACCGATCCCCTCCCCCCACGCGCCGCGCAGGCACCTGCGGGCGACGTCGAGCTGCACGAGGCGCCTCCCGCTGGGCTGGAAGAAGACGACGCAGTTGGCGGGGGCGAAGGCGCCCTCTGCTGCGGCAGCGCCGGCCTGGCGCGGCGGCGGGGCATGGCCCGTGGCAGCAGTGGACGGGCCCCGACGTCAGACGCCGTCAAGCAATTCGTCCTGCTCCTCCTCCTCATCGTCGTCCTCCTCCTCCTCCTCCTCCTCCTCATCGTCCTCCTCCTCGTCCTCCTCCTCCTCCTCCTCCTCCTCCTCCTCCTCCTCCTCCTCCTCCTCCTCTAGGGTCGCGAAGATCGGCATAGACGTAACAACTCGGAGGTCCGCGCGGATTCCTCGCATCGGCGCTGGGCCCCCCCCTGGCCGCGCCCCCGGCGCCGCCCCTGGCGCGCTCCGCGCGCCAGGGAGGGGGGCACAGCGCCGATCCGAGGAACTCCGCGCGGACCTCCGAGTTTTGATGGTGATGTTTATTTTCCCCCGATGCTCCTCCTCCTCCTCATCGTCCTCCTCCTCCCCTTCAGCTGGGCGCCCGGATCTCTTCTGGTGCGCGCCGTGACCAGGAATCGATCCCCCTCAGGCAATTCCTCCTCCTCGTCTTCCCCGTCCCTCCTCAAGTTCACATGCTCGCATATACCCAAGGCTCATACAAGGCACGGGAATGGACAAACTTTCAAGAAGACGACGCGCACGAAACTCTCAACCAGCTCCTGACAGCATGAATAAATCACACATAGGCAGTCCACACAGGACACGCAGACAAAGAAGCGGCCATAACGATCGCGTAGTCACTTGTGCCAGTCATATGAGTACAATCCACATGGGTCCCTCACCGCATTATGTTGCAACAGAAGGCCACACTCGACGCACATACGCCATGATCACAAGCCCGACATATGCCAACATATGAACAGGAAAGGACATCAATGAAATCCCATCAGCCCTTTGGGCGACAGGTGGTCTAACGAGTGTCTCTTTCCTCTTCCAGAGCCCCTTTTCCCTTCGGAGAGGGGAGCCCTCCCCCTCCCCTCCCTGAGGTTTTTTGGGGAGGGGGTCGCGATGTGTCGGAGGCTCCTTTTTCTGCCATTGGGAGGGTCATTTTTTGCCACCCCTCACGAGGACCGTGGCCCCCGAGGGGGGGGCGCAAATCTAGTACCCCCACTCTTTTTACCGAACGCCTCCAACATTGCCCCAAGAGGCCCTCCAGGGCTCCCAAGGGGCCCCCAAGAGGGCTCCAAGAGCGCCCCAAGAGGCCCCAAGAGGGCTCCAAGAGGCACCCGAGAGGCACCCAACAGGCCCCCGAGCGGCCTCAGAGAGCCCAAGATGGCCTCCAAGATGGCTCAGATAGCCCAAGCTGGCTCAAGATGTCTCCCAAGATGCTCCAAGCGGCCCCAAGACCGCTCCAAAACGGCCCGACATGGCCACGGAGCCTCCCAAGCCGCCCTGGCTGTTTGACTATGCGTGTCTTTTCCTCTCTCTCCCCGTCAACTCTCATGGGCATCGTTTCTGGATGGGCTGGTGGGGATGCTTTTTGGTACGCGGGCGCGCGAAGCAGGTCGAACGCCGGGCAAGCAGGGGCAGGCTGTGCCACAACGGCGGGTGGGGATAATTAAACGAAGCGTCAAGAACTATACCCAACGAGAATACTCACACACGGAGACTCCAGTCATGCAAGCTGCTGAACTGAGAGAGGCTCTCCCACGCCGTCAATGCCAAAACGGCAAAAGTGTCAGCAGATGAAGGCATCTCTGCTTTGTTATGCCAGGCGCGGCGCCGCGCGAACGGGCGAGCAGCTCTCCCCTGGCGGTCCTGGCTCAGTAGCTCTTTCTGCTCCTCGAGCTTGGATGCTCTGCTTCGCCCCGCTACTGTGCCTTCGAATGCTCCCCAGACCTGGGCCGCTGACCAGGCGCTACCCATCCCCGTGGGTAGACGGGGGGTCCTTCCTAAGCCCAGCTCCCTGAGCGACTACAATTGGTGCGGTTTGCGAAGGGTGCGGATTGCCTCCCGTCATATCTGCCCCTCCCGCCCCCGGGAAACGGATGACACTGTCACTCAATGCGACCGAAACACATGACACTGTCGCTCCTTCTTATACAGTGGAGCACACATCGAGGATGACAGTGTCGCTCGAAACGACGACAATTATGACATCGTCTTTCACAAAGGCCCTGGAAAGGCCGCCACAAAGCAGCCCGCAAACCGCACCCTGGCGTAACCGCACCGATTGCAGTCGCCGTCCCTGGCGGAATGGGTGTCGGCCGCGGCCGACGCCAACTGACGCTACGAGCGTGTGCGCTCGGCGACTGACGCTACGAGCGTGTGCGCTCGGCGGCCAGGGCAAGAGTCAGGGCCGGGTAGGACTTCTCAGGCCCCTGGAAGGCACGTTGTAGTAGTAGGGCGGGACTCTGGGCCCACCTTCTCCAGCGGCTTCGACGTTCTCTTACCAGTCGGCAGCCCTGCGCTCTCTTGAAGAATCAGGGGCTCCTTCTCCGACGCGGTCGAGACGGAAGTCCCACGGGGCCAGGGCGTGTAAAGCGACACTTCCTGCGCAGCACGGCGGAAAGCCCGGGCAGACCACCTCGTATAACAGCTCGGCTGCTGCAGACACCGCGGCCGGCATCGCGTGAGCAGGGACCGGGCCCCGAAAGAGAGCAGCCACCGAAGCGAAGAGCGCGTGGTGCTCCTGCTGGCCATGGCCGCAGTCGCCGGATTGCTCGATCAGCTGATAGGCGGGCCCCGTCGCGCCAGGCCTTCCGCAGAGGTGCAGAACTCTGACGCACATCGCTCGCGCCATGCCGCTCCATTTGCTCGTAAGCCAACAGCCCCGCTCCCCCCGTCCCTCACGCCCGCCGCGCTGCCCTCAGGGTTAGGGTCGCAAGGGTACGCCGAGGAGCAGGGTCCAGGAGCGGGGGGCCTACGGAAAGGCCTTGAGCCAAAATGGCACGGACTCCTCTTGCTCCTCCTCCTCCTCCTCCTCCTCCTCCTCCTCCTCCTCCTCCTCCTCTCCCTCACCCACCCCCCAGAATCAAACCGCCTCGAGCTCCGCACCGACGACGGGGACCGCCACGAACGCCTCGCGAGGGGTCGGGGCGGCCCGCCGGCGCCGCCGCCGCCGCCGCCCTCGTCGCCGCCGCCTTTGTCGTCACCGCCGCCGCCGCAGCAGCCTTCGTCGTCGCTGTCGCCGTCGCTGCCGTCGCCGCCGCCGTCGCCGTCGCCGCCCACGCAGTCGTCGCCGCGAGGGCCTCGCGGGGGTCGGGGCGGACCCTGGAGGAGCGCGCCGCGGGGGTCAGCGCGGGCGTCGCGAGCACCACCGCGCGGACGTCCTCGGAGCGCTCGGCGCCGCCGCCCGCCACCGCCCCCGCCGTCGCAGTGGCTGTCGACGTCGCCGTCGCCGTCGCCGCAAGGCGCCCTCCTCCTCCTCCTCCTCCTCCTCCTCCTCCTCCACCTCCTCCTCCTCCAACTCCTCCACCTCCTCCAATTCCTTCTCCTCCTCCTCCTCCTCGTCCTCCTCCTCCTCCATCTCCTCCTCCTCCTCCTCCTCCTCCTCCTCCCTCCTCCTCCTCCTCCTCCTCCCCCTCCTCCTCTTCCCTATCATGAAATCATAGTTGACGTCATCACTCAAGATAGCAATGTGGCAGAAGGGTCGCCGTAACGGTGGGACAACTGCACGTGGTAGAAAGGTTCCACATCCCATTGCAGCGAGGGCCCCCTAAGTAGTAGAACGGAGTAGTATGTTTCTCCTCTCCTCCTCCTCTCCCTCCTCCTCCGCCTCCTCCGCGCTCACGCCCACAAGGAAGTGGCTGGCGGGCTGGGGCGGCACCCGCGCGGCTCTCTGGGCCAACCAGAGCCTGCTCGAAGCCACCCTGCCATGACGAGCGCGTTCCACTACTCGCAAAGTAAAACATGGCCTGGATCCGCCGCGGGGGATCTACGATACATTACATCAAAGCAGACTTGTTTTTCGCACGTTTGCGAGTAGGCACTTTGCGAGTAGTGGAACGCGCTCGGTGACTGCACTGGAGGCTGGCTGGCGGGCGCCCCTCGCTGCCGGCGGCCCTTCGGCTCGCGTGGCCAGCAGGAGAGGAGCGTGGCAGCGCGCCGCCTGGCCCCCCCTCCCCTTCGGCAGGGAGGCCCGCGGGGGCGGCTCTGAGCTCCTGCCCCTCTGGCAGCTCTTCGGGGTGACCCAAGAGGGGGTGCAATAGATTTGGGGCAATTCGTATTGCAGATGCACTGCGCCGGAAAATTGTGTTGCATTGCATTGCAACTAATGCATCGCACGCGGAAATCCAGCAACACATCTTGCGCCCCGGAAGCGTATTGCACGCCCCAGATGCAGTGCAACCCCACAGATCCACTGCACCGAATCCATCCCCTTGTCGCTGGACCCCCTTCTGGGTCGCCCCGAGCTCCGCGCGCGTCGCGCGGAGGCAGAGGGGAGCTCCGGGCTTCCCCCCTCGGTCGGCGCTCACTTGCGCGGGGCCCCTGGGGCCATCGGTGGAGCTCCCTCTGGGGCCAAGGAGGGCTGCACTGGGTGGGGCTGGCGCATGCGGGCAGTGCCACTGAGGCCTTCGGTGGAGCTTCCCATAGGGCCACGGGGCCCCTCGACCACTGCAGGTGCGGCTGGGGGCGCTCGGGGGCGGCACCGTCAGCAGACGCGCGCACCGCCATCTCCAAGAGAGCGCGGAGCGCCGGGGGGCTGTCCGTCCACGACCGGTGGAGCTCGCCCAGGGCCAGCAGTGGTCTTTTGGTACTCTCAGTCCTTATTCAATCGTCCCCCGGGTCTGGTTTTTACGGCGCCTTTTTTGTGACTGGGGGGTCCGGTTTATTGGGGCGTTTTCATCGGATTGGAGCTTCGGGGGTCCGGTTTATCAAGGCGCCCCGTCGAAGACGGGGGTCCTGAATGTTAGGTCCGGTTTGTTAAGGGGGGTCGATGTATAAGGGATTTGGAGTATGCGGATAGGGCCGGGAAGTGCTACGTGGCCAGCCGATGGAGGGTTCCAGTGGCTCGCGTGTCAGCGAGGGTCGGGGCCTGGCCACCTTTGTCGCGCGCACTTTCACGCGGCCTCCAACCCCAGATGTGCCTCGCAGATGCGGTGACACCTCCCACCCGTCGCATCAACCACTACAGTGCGATACAGTAAACAGGGAGACGACAACTGTCGACGTCGACGGAGACGACCCAGATTGATCGATGGTCTTCGACGGCTAAAACGACGGGCGACGGCCACGACGGCGGCGGCGATGACGACGACGAAGGGCCCCGTCGACGGCGACGGCGATCGACGACGACGGCCACTGCGATGGCGGCGACGATCGACGACAATCTATGACAATATGTGGTGCAATGAACGTTTTTTCGGAGTGAGTTGTCCACTCCACTGCTCGCGCAAACATCCCACCCACCCACATGCAACTTGGTTTGCAAACCTCATGCGGCGGCGATTGCGATGAGTGTTTGGCGCTGGCTGGTGCATGTCTGCGGCCGCGCCAGCCCGCGCATGCGCGCGCGCAGCGGCCAGGTAGTTTGGCGCGACCGACGCGGCCGCGGTGGTGCTGACCACTCGGCACGTCCCAGCGGGCGCTTGAATGCGAGTCGGCGACTTGGGCGGGTGCGGTATCAGGGTAAATTCGACACTTATAGGGACGATGCTGATGATGGTAGCGATGTTGGCGACGATGCTGACAGCGACGACGGCACGGCCAGTGACGGCGCCGATGACGATGACGGCGTTTTCGCGTCGGTGATGAAGGTTTTGGACGGATTTCTAAATGCGCGCGCGGCAGAGTGGCTCGCATGGTATGATTGGCTCGCATGGTATAATTTGACGCGGATCGTGCCACCTCAGCACGCGCGCAAGGACATGCGAACGATTTCGACATGCGCGCGCGAAGCCCGTTTGGTAGCAGTGTATGACAATGTAGAAAAAAACTTATGGTTTTCGTGAGAAGTCGCAACAGCGGGCATGCTTTTGTTGGAAAGCCGTGTTGCGAAACCTTGTGCTTTAGTAGTTTGTTTGGGAAACTCGATTTTTGAAATCCGTCCGGAACCGAAACCCTTTGAAGGATTTCGGCATGCGCGCGCGACGACGCGCGCGCGTGCACTTCGTCTTCTTTTTTTGCGGAGGATGCTCGCGACGGCACGCGCGCAAGGGCGTTCGAACGATCTCGACATGCGCGCGCGAAGCCTGTCAGGTAGGACGGTTTTGGTGATAATTAGCAAGAGCGTGCGCGCATGCTTGGTTGAAAATCCGTGATTCGATGTGTGTTGCCATCAACGGCTGCAGCAAACCACATACACCACTGGGGGGCGGGCGACTCCACCGCGGGAGGGGGGAACATGAGTTGAACAACTCCAAATCTGCTACCCCAGAAAGATTTCGACATGCGCGTGCGACGACGCGCGCGTGTGCACGTCGTTTCATGTTTTGCGAGGGGCTCTTGAAAATAAATGATTTTTGGTAAACGAATGCGCGCGCATACTATTTGTTGCAGAGATGGCGGGGGGGGGGGGGGCGATACCGGCCCCGCTGGGATATGATCAATTTAATGGTAGGATGGACGTTGGGTCAGAATCGTATGCAACTTGCAATACGAAGCGGTGAATATTTCAATCCGGGGGGGGGGAGGGTGGTAGAACCGATCTCATTTTTAGAAAGGAGCATTCACTTGCCGAGCCTGAAGTTGTCAAATCCAGTGTTCGCGCAATCATCCCACCCACTTACCCGCAACTTGGTTTGCAAAACCCATGCGGGAACGATTGCGACGGGTGCTGGTTGGCTGGTGCATCTCTGCGGCCGCGCTAGCCCGCACGTGCTCGCGCGCGCAGCGGCCAGGTAGTTTGGCGCGACCGACGCGGCCGCGGTGGTGCTGAATGCTCGGCACATCCCAGCGGGCACTTCAGTGCGAGCCGGCGACTTGGGCGAGCGCGGTATCATGGCAACGTCGACAACAGTAGACACGATGACGATAGTAACGATGCTGGCGACGATGCTGACAGTGACGACGGGGCAGCCAATGACGGCGCCGATGCTGATCATGCCGTCGACGATGACGGCGTTTTCGCGTCGGTGAGGAAGGTTTTGGAAAACATTCGACATGCGCGCGCGGCAGACGCGCGACAGTGGTTCGCATGGTACGATTCGACGCAGATCGTGCCACCCAGCACGCGCGCAAGGACATGCGAACGATTTCGACATGCGAACGCGCGAAGCCCGTTTGGTAGCAGTGTATGTCAATGTTGAAAAACGTACGGTTGTCATAAGAATTCGCGGCACTGCGCACATGCTTTTGTTGAAAACCCGTGTTGCGAAACCCGGTGCTTTTATGCTATGTGGACGCTCGTTTTTGAAATCCGTCCGGAACCGAAACCGTTTGAAGGATTCCGGCATGCGCGCGCGACGACGCGCGCGCGTGCAATTCGTCTCATTTGTTCCAAAGGATCCTCGCGAAGGCACGCGCGCAAGGGCGTTCGACATGCGCGCGCGCACAGCCCGTTTGGTAGCATGTTTTGAAAATGTTGAAACAACCAATGGTTTTCTTAAGAATTCGCAGAAGCGCGCAAACTGTTGTTGAACATCCGAATTGCGAGACCTTGTGTGTTATAGGTTCTTGAGACACTCGGTTTAAAAATCCCTACGAAAGCCCGCTTCCTTTTTTCAAATGATTTTGGCATGCGCGTGCGCGACGACGCGCGCGTGTGCACTTCGTCCCGTTCCTTGCGCCAGGGATTCTTCAAAACGTATGTTTTCGGGTCGCATTTGTTGCGGAGGATGGCGGGAGGGGTGCTGGCCTGGCTGGGATAGAATGAGTTCAAAGGTATGATGGACAGTGGGTCGTAATCATATATTTGTAAATTGCAACATGAAGAAGTGGATATGTAAGCCCAGGAGGGGAAGGGTGGTATAACCTATCCTTTTACAGCGAATCTACCTGGTGCAATACATGTGGTTCAGTGAAGATTGGTCCATCCAAGTCGTGCGCTCCGTTTGTTTCAATCTACGTTGTGCAACTAATTTCTCTTCGCAGTGAGTTGTCCACTCCACTGTTCGCGCAAGCGTCCCACCCACCCACCCGCAAGTTGGTTTGCAAACGTATTGCGGTGGCGATTGCGATGAGTTGTTGGCGCTGGCTGGTGCATCTCTGCGGCCGCGCCAGCCCGCGCATGCGCGCGCGCAGCGGCCAGGTAGTTTGGCACGACCGACGCGGCCGCGGTGGTGCTGACCACTCGGCACGTCCCAGCGGGCACTTGAATGCGGGTCGGCGCCTTGGGCGTGCGCGTTAGCATGGCAACGTCGACAACTGTAGACACAATGATGGTGATAGTAACGATGCTGGCGGCGATGCTGACAGCGACGACGGCACGGCCAGTGACGGCGCCGATGCCGATCACGCCGACGACGATGACGGCGTCTTCGGATCGGGGATGACGGTTTTGGAAGACATTCGACATGCGCGCGCGGCAGACGCGCGACAGTGGCTCGCATGGATCGTGCCACCCCAGCACGCGCGCAAGGGCGTTCGAACGATTTCGACATGCGCGCGCGAAGCCCGTTTGGTAGCAGTTTATGCCAACGTTGACAGACTTATGGTTTTGGTAAGAATTCGCAAGAACGCGCGCACGCTTTTGTTGAAACTCCGTGTTGCGAAACCCTGTGCTTTTGTTGTTTGGACACTCGATTTTGAAATCCGTCCGACACCAACGGCTTGTAAATGATTTCGGCATGCGCGCGCGACGACGCGCGCGCGTGCGCTTCGTCTCAGTTTTGCAAAGGGTTCTCGCGAAGGCACGCGCGCAAGAGATTCGAACGATTTCGACATGCGCGCGCGAAGCCCGTTTGGTAACACTTTCTGGGAATATTGAAAAACATATGGTTTTCTCAAGAGTGCGCAAGAACGCGCGCAAGCTTTTTCTGAAAATCTGCGTTGCGAAATCATGTGTTGTATATTTCGTTTGGACACTCGGTGTTGACACATTTCCAACACAAACGGCTTTTGAATGATTTCGGCATGCGCGCGCGACGACGCGCGCGTGTGCACTTCGTCCCGTTTTTTGCAAGGGGTTCTTCAAAACTTATGATTTTTGATAAACGAGTGCGCGCGCAAAACATATTTTGTAGAGGATGGCGGGGGGGGCGATACCGGTTTGGCTGGGATGCTATGAATTCACGGGTAGGGTGGACATTGGGTCAGAATCAAATGTAAATTGCAATACGAAAAAAAAGGAATTGATAAGTTCGTGAGAGGAGGGTGGTATAACAGATATGATGTTTTAAAAGAGACCCGATGTGATGCAATCTATCCACGAGGTGGCGACAGGGCGGCGACGGGGGTCACACAGCCGCCAGACCGACACCCAGGCCCAGGCGACGGGCGGCGACGAGGCGGCGACGGGGCGGCGTCGACGGCAACATAGCCGCCAGACCGGCACGCAGGCCCAGTTGCTGTCAACGGGAGCAAGATCACCCAAGTGCAAACACTGTTCGGGGAATTCGATTGGTGTCGGCCGAGATGTCAGCCAACGCCCAGAATCCGGGGCAGCAAAATGGTACCCATACCGCTACAGGCGGGGCGTTGACCTGAGGAACCCTAGATAAGGAACGAGGCCCCTTTTTCCCATAAGTTCAACCTCGATTTCCTATTTAAAACATAAGGAAGACCTGAGGCAAGCTGTGAAACACTTAAGGAACGCGGAGCCCCTCCCCAACCAAAAGGGTTCCTTCTTCAGGGCCCCGACTGTACTCTTTGGACCTCTCCTGGCCTCTCCTGGCACTGGCTGCCCACACGAGAACCTCGAGGCGAAGCCAGCCGTGGCGACGAGAACCTCCCAGAAAACCCCCCCAAAGAGGCGAGGACGCTTGCACGACAGGTGGCGGCGAGGGCCTCCCATGAGACCCAACAGCGAAGACGACGGTTAGGGTAGTGATATCGGCCAGCGCCCAGCGCCCAGAATTTGCTCCTCGCGGTGCCCTCCCACAGCCGAAGGGGTCAATGATCGGTCCCTGGACCTCCCCTGGGGTGCGCCCTGATCAAAATTAATTTCGTGGCGGATCCAGCCTTGGCCACGAGGGCGCCCCAGGATGACCAGAGACGTCCAGAAGGCGAACCTCGAACCCAGATGCTCGAATCTCAGACAGAATCTGCTCCTTGCGGTGGGTTGGCGGCGCGCACAAGGGGGTGGAGGGAGGGGGGAGGGCTTCTTAGAAGTAGGCTGCTTGATAGAAGGCGCCGGCCTTACATCTATAGATAATGCCCGGGCCTTCTAAGAAGCAGCGGTGCTTCTAAGAAGCCCTCCCGCCTTCCCCCACCCCCCTGTGCGCGTGACTGAGTGGGGCCGCTCGAGCAGCAGCCGCGCCAGATCGCCTTCGTGGTCGTCGTCGTGGTCGCCGTCGCCGTCGTCGTGGTCCTCGCGGTGGGGCCGCTCGAGCAGCAGCTGCGGCGCCAGCGGGTCCAACGGCGAGTGCAGCAGCACCGCGCGCTCGCCCGGCACCGCCGCCAGCTGCGCCGAGCCCAGCGGCACCTGTGAGCGCTCGCAGCCGCCGCCGCTGGCAAGGACGACGGCGACGGCGACGGCAACGGCGACGAGGACGGCGACGGCGACGGGGACGGCGACGACGACGACGACGACGACGACGACGACGACGACGACGACGACGACGACGACGACGGCGACGGCGACGGCGACGGCGACGGCGACGACGGACGACGACTCCTGGGCCTGCCGCCGTCGCCGTCGGCGTGGTCGTCGGCGCCATCCCATGACCCCACTCGCGTCGTGAAAAATAGCGACAGCAGGTTTTTTTTCTTTTGTTTTCGGCGTCCCGGGGCTTTCGCAAGGCATCGGAACTGTTAAGAAACGGCTCTGGATGGAAAGCCCACTAGGAATGGCTCGATACCTCCCAAGCTCTACGTGTTCTGAAAAATCATGACGTCGGGGGTCTGTCTGAGTCGTGCGCCAGAATCCTTGTCGTCGACGTCGTCGTCATTGCCTGCGTTGGCATGGTTTTCGGCGCCGTCGTCGTCTTCACTGGCGCAGGAGTCAGCGCGGCCGTCATCATCCAGCGGCTCCTCCTCCCCTTCTTCATCCTCCACAATAACTCAATATGAACACTATGCACTATGCTGCCACCTCCGCTGTCGTGTGGCGCTGATTTCACCTGCAGAGGATTTGATTACCCTCCCTGTACGGTCATTTGTCCGATGGGACAGATGTTGGTGTTTCACAGTTGTGCTCCAGTTGCAGCGTGGCCCTCATTCGAGGATCGGCGCTGCGCTCCCGGCACTCAGAATGGCGCTCTCGCCCCAGCGCGGACCGCTTTTCTGGACTCGCGTCCTTCCGCATCGTTGTCGCCCCCCTCCTTTCCCCTCCATCCCCCGCCTTCCATTCCAGCTCCTGCTGCTGTTTTTCCTCATCGTCCTCCTCTTTCCTCCTCCTCCTTTTCCTCCTGCTCATCCGCCACCACATCCTCTAATGAACGCAGCTTCCTCAACCCGATTGCGCAGATACTCTTCGGAGTTCCAGGTCCGCGATGACACGCGTCGAAAAATCAGCGCGATGGGAAGGGATGGGTAAGAGGGGGTGGACGCCAGATACTGCGCGAGCGCACCTAGCCTGCTTCCCTTCCTGTTCACTTGAACCTGCTCAACGAGAGATACACCACAAGGCCTCCCAGGGACCCTTGGCGATATCCCCTCTGCGCTGGACCTTCGACGGAGGCCCTGGCCTCTGCGAACAGCGCGCCCCGCCACGAGCCACAACACATGCGCGGCCCCCGCGGATCCCACCCAGCGCCCAAAGCCCGAGAAGCCGCTGCTCTGCCACACGCCAAGCCCCTCAGAGAGGCGTCCTTTCGGACCGCATGGCCCGCAGCCTCTGAGTGGCCAAGCCCCTCAGAGAGGCTTCCTTTCGGACCGCATGGCCCGCAGCCTCTGCGCTGGCCAACGCCGCAGAGTCGCCGCCAGCGCCGCAGCGATCAAGGCTGGACGGGAAGCAGAAGTGGCCGCCTCGAGGACCTGCCGCCTGCCCCGAGCACCATCCTGGCCCGGCCCGCCTGGAGCGCCGAGGGGGTGCATCTGCGACCGCTGCGACGCGCGATAAGCCTGGCCGTCGAAGGCCATGCTGGCCTGGGCCCAAGCTCCAAGAACTCATGCCGTTGGAGGCCGAACAACTGGTGAGGGAGCGGGCCGAGAAACAGGCAACACACTCCAGAAACACCGGGCGGCCTGGACCCAAGCTGCACAAGCTCATGCTTCCGCAAGCCGAACAGCCGGTACTCCGAATGGTGGGCCTGAAATTGAGGAGGAGGAGGAGGAAGAATGGTACTCTGAATGGTGGGCCTGAAATTGAACGTCCAATGCCTCTCTCGCAGCAGCCGGCCGAGCAGCTGCCCGCGAGGAACGCCGAGGCCTTGCGTGTGGACTGCTTCGGGCGATCCGGCACTCTCCTGCAAAGAGCTCTCGGGGACCGTGTCCTCCAAGGCTCTGGAAATGTTACAGTAGGCTCGTGCGGCGTCGACGCCCGCAAAGGTTTCCGACACCGCGTCGACCGCTCAACCTTGAATCGATCGCGGCCCCGATCGTTCAGAGTTGAATTCCGTCGGCTCCAGCAGCGTTACAGTGTCCCCCCTGTGCTTCAGCGTCGCAGAAGTCAACCTTGGAACGCCATCGCCAGCGTCGACGGCGCGCCGACGCCGCATCAACCTACCGTAAAGGAATCATCGCGCGACTTAGCTACTTCCCACAGCAATGGCTATCAGGGTGGGCCTCCACAAGTTCAAGCAAGTCGGGGCCAACGGGGGCGCATTCGAGCCAGGAGCCTCGCGAGACTCGACCAGGTACCAACTTTCCAGGCATTCCTACGGGCCTACCGCGAAAGGCTCGTAGAGCAAATTCATGCTCTAAGGGAAAAAACAAAGTTCTTAGAACATAATGCCGATGCACCACCACAAGAAAGTCTGAGCCAGAAATGGTCCTAAAACATTTCGCCCAAAGCACAAACGGTCATTAAATCATTCTTTGGTGGGCCTATAGGCGAGCCAGGACGCCTCGCCACTGCTCGAGAAACAATTGCGCTTCGAACACCCGCCTTCGGACAGAAGCGCGCGAACCAACCCGCATGGGTATCGCCGCTGCCCTCATCACAGAAGGAGCCCTCCAGAGTCTGCAGCCTCCTGGGCACACTCCTTCACGAACGCCCCCGCTGCATCATCAGGGCACAGCAGTCGCGCTCACGCCTGCGTCGCATCAACAACCCCTCTGCTTGTCCGCACTCACCTGAAGGGCCCCGCGGGTAGCTTCGCGCCCTCGAGGGCGCCCCTGCGGAGAGTGCCCCGTTAGGCCTCCGAGTTCTCCGGCGAGGCCCGCCCGCTCGGCCTTCCCCCCTTGAGCGCGTCGCTGGGCCTAGATTCGGAGTGGTTCTTGATCGCTCTCGGCACTTCAAGGAAGAAGGATCGAGGAGGAAGGACCTGTCATCGAGGAGGAAGGGTCGAGGATCGAATGAGAGGACGACCTCCCCCCCCCTGCTGCTGCTGCTGCTTCTGCTGCTTCTGCTGCTGCTGCTTCTGCTGCTGCTGCTGCTGCTGCTTCTGCTGCTGCTGCTGCTTCTGCTGCTGCTGCTGCTGCTGCTGCTGCTGCTGCTGCTCCGCCTTCCCCCTTCCGACCAGCGCGCCGACCCACGGCAGCCCCGCATCACGGGGGGGATCCGGGCCCCAATCCCCGACTCTGTGGTGGGCTTTCGAGCGGGCAGGAACAGTTGAGGCCAAGTCGGGGACATGCGACGGGATGGGGGTGCGTCCGAATAGAACTCCCCCCGGGGTGTTGCAGTGCCGAGCTTCCAGTTTTTCTGAACGGCCAGTTTTTCCACGGGAGCTCGAGGAGTTTCGAGAATTGGGTGGAATGGTCGTTTGGGGGACCTTCCTAGAGCCACCCGCTCTACTCAGTCGTCGGTGCTGCGTCGAACGCCCATCGACTCGAGTCGAACTTGAGTCGAGCTTGAATTGATCTAGGGTCGGACTGCAGCCTGAATCCAGAGTCGCACAGATCCGTCAGGTGAGCCCCGGGAGGGTCCGCTAACCGAGCCTCTACGTTGGGGGCAAGAACTCCCAGACACCACATGCCATAAAACGACGCGAAGATCGGGACAAAATCGGATCGGGATAACTCGAAATCTCTGAGAATCGGCGGGTTTTGAGGATGTCTTGGGCGCCGCGGCCGCTCCAGAGCGTTCCGGAACGCTCTGAGAGCGCTCCGGAACGCTCTGGAGCGATTTATCCCGATCCTAGCCCTGTTTTACCAACCCCTGCGGCCACGCCTGAGACCCAAGAACAGCCCCCAAGAGCATGAGATCCTCCGCCGGCCAAACGGAAGAAGATTCGAGGGCATCCTCCCCCAGGATGCACACGAGCATCCACCAACCACGAAGAGCATCCAACGTATCCTCCCTGAGCCGACCTCGATCTTATGCCTCGGTCCAGCCGTGCCTACAGACCGGCTTCTCATTCCGAGTCGTTTGTGGCCGGCCCAAAGGGCCCGCCGAAGGCCGACGGACACCAAACACGACGGAGAACAATACAGTCGTGATTTTTTTCGCAACTCGGCGGGTCCTGCGGACGGCGCCGACGGCCAAGCCGACGGCCACGCCGACCGCGGGCGCTGCCAACGGCGGCGGGCCCGGAAGTCGTCGTCCGTCTCCATCGTCGTCATCGTCGTCGTAGCCGTCGTCGTCAGAGTCGTCAGAGTCGTAAGAGTCGTCGTCATCCATCGTCATTCGTCGTCGTCGTCGTCATTCGTCGTCGTCGTCGTCGTCGTCTTCCGTCGTCGTCCGTCGTCGTCGCCGTCGCCGCCGCCGTCGTCGTCGTCGTCATCTGGTCGTCGTCGTGGTCGTCGTCGTCGTCGTTCGCCGTCGTCCGTCGTCGTTCGTCGTCGTCGTTCATTGTCGTCGTCACCGTCGTCGCGACCTCCCTCGCAATCGCGGTCGCCGTCGCAGTCGCTGTCGACAGAGTCGTCGACGTCGTCGCAGCCGTCGTCGTCGTCGTCGTCGTCGTCGTCGTCTGGTATCATCGTCGTCGTCGTCCGTTTTCGTCCGTCGTCGTCCGTCGTCGTCCGTCGTCGTCGTCGTCGTCGTTCGTCGTCGTCGTCGTCGTCGTCGTCGTCGTCGTCGTCGTCGTCGTCGTCGTCGTCGTCGTCGTCGTCGTCGTCGTCGTTCGCCGTCGTCGTCGTCGTCGTGGCAAGTTCGGGACGAAGGGGGGGTCTGCGGACGGCGGTGACGACCACGACAACGGCCGCGCAGACCTCAGGCGCTGCCGGCAGCGGGGGGCCCGCGGGTCGTGGTCCGTCGTCGTCGTCGTCGTCGCCGTCGTCGTCGTCGTCGTCGTCGTCGTCGTCGTCCGTCGTCGTCGTCTTCATCGTCGACGTCGTCGTCGTCATCGTCAGAATCCCACCAGCCCTGTAGGGTGTAGGTGGTCTAGGGTGTTTTGTCTTCCATTTGCCCCTCTTCCCCTTCGGGGAGGGGTTTATCACTGCTCCTTATTAATATACACCCCCTTACCCAGGCGACCGGGGGCCAACCAAGCACCATGCAGACACCATGACCACCCGCCCCCACCATCCCTGTCAATACAAACCGCACTCTGCCTCCACATTTGGAGCATGCGCGGCCAACCCTATGCGGCCCCCCACCACTCCTGTCAAAAACAATGCAACGTACACTTTGGTGCAAAGTCTTGAGTCATGTTCGTGAGGCCCGCGAGCACTTCGTATTATTTTTGACAAAAGGACAGCGGGGGTGTCAGCATATCCCCTGCTGCGCGCAAGGCTACCATCCCTGACAAAAAAGAACAATACAACATGCACCTCGCGGCTAAATCTGGAACATGCGCGGCCATCCCGCGATCACTGTCAAGTGGCTTTTGACAGGGACGGCGGGGGTGGTGGCGCGTGGCCTGCTTTGCGCAGGCCTAGCAAACACAATGACGGGCATCGGTTTTCAACAAGGATGGCGGGTGCCGACATGTTTCCCGACGTGTGCTGTCACGTGCGCAGGCGCACCTGACGCACTCTGCACGTGCCCCGAACGCGGCGCACCTGGCGCGGCTGGAGTGTCCGGCACACCTGGCGCACTCGGAGCACGTGGCGCATCTGGCGCACCTGGCGTGCCTGGCACGCTCGGGCCCCAGGGGTGCCTGGCGCGCGTGGCGCTTCTGGCACGCGTGGCGCACCTCGCCCAAACGTCGCGCACCTGGGGTCGGCTTTGGTTCCCAGTAGCTGTCCATCCAAAGACGACCGCAGGCTCGGGTGTTACCTTTGTGTAGGGAGCGCGGTTGGGAGTGAACTAGACGGCTTGCGGGCGGGTGGGTGTCTTGACCCCTCCCCCTATCCCCTCCCCTGGACCTGGGAGGGGACGGTCGCGAGGTGCCAGGGCGCCCAAAACGGCCTCGGCGACAAAGCCCAAATCATTGGTTTTACTAAGGTGTTGGCACCATTTGTGGCCTCGTGGGGGGCGACCATAATTTTAGCTCCCCCCTTGTTTGATCGATGTCCTCCAAGATGGCCCCAAGAGCGATCCCAAGGCTCCCAAGAGCGCTTCAAGAGGGCCCCAAGAGGCGCCCAGGAGGCCCCAGGAGGCCCCAAGAGGCGCCCAATTGGCCTCCAAGAGACTCCCAGGACACCCCCAAGAGGCCCAAAGAAGCTCCCCGAGGCATCAAAGACGCTCCAAGAGGCCTCCCGGACCGCCAAGAGGCCCCCAAGACGCTCCAAGAGGCCTCCAATGGGGGACCCTTCCTCTGTGTGCTGCCCACTTCCCTGATCGAGGCATCTCCTCTGGGCATCGTTTCTGGATGGGCTGGCGGGGTTAAGCGGAACGTCTGGAATTCGTCGTCGTCGTCGACGTCGTCGTCGTCGTCGTCATCGTCGCCGTCGTCGTCGTCGTCGTCCGTCGGCTTTCATCGTCGTCGCCGCAGCCGCCGTCGTCGTCGTCAGGTGTCGTCGTCGTCATTCGGTGTCGTCGTCGTCGTCCGTCGTCGCTCGTCGTCGTCATCGTCGTTCGTCGCCATTATCGTCGCCGTCGTCGTCTTTTTCGTGGTCGTCCGTGGTCGTCCGTCGTCGTCATCCATTGTCGTCGTCATCGTTGCCGTCGTCGTCGTTGTTGTCGTGGTGGTCGTTGTCGTCCGTCGTCGTCGGGTGTCATCATTGACGCAGTCGTCGTCCAGAGTCGTTCGTCGTCGTCCGTCGTGTTCGCCGTCGTCGTCGCGGACCCCGTCATCAATGTCGTCGCCGTCGCCGTCGACATCGTCGTCGTTCGTCGTCGTCGTTGTCAGTCGTCGTCGGCTTCGTCATCGCCATCGCCACCATCGTCGTTGTCGTCGTTGTCGCGGTTGTCGCCGTCGTCGTGCTCGTCGTCGTCGTCATCGTCGTCGTTCATCGTCGTCGTCGTCGTCGTCGTCGGTCGTCCCTCCTCGTCGTTGTCAGCGTTCGTCGACGTGGACGTCGCCGTCGTCGTCGTTCGTCGTCGCCGTCAGCGTCGCCGTCGCCGTCGTCATCGTCATCGTCATCGTCGTCTCAGTCTTCGTCGTCGCCATCGTCGTCGTCGTCGTCCGTCGTCGTCCGTCGTCGTCCGTCGTCGTCGCCGCCGTGGCCGTCGTAGTCGCCACCGTTTCCGTCGCCATCGTCTTCGTCGTAGTCGTCGTCGTCGTGTGTCGTCGTTCGTCGTCGTTGTCGTTCGTCGTTCGTTGTCACCGTCGTCTCCAACGTCGTCGCCGTCCGTCGTCGTTCGTCGTCGTCGTTATTCGACGTCAACAACGTCGACGTCGTCGCCAACGGCGACGTCGGCGTCGTCCGTCGTCGTTTGTCGCCGTCGTCGTCGTCGTCGTCGTTCATCGTCGTCGCCGTCCATTACCATCTGTCGTCGTCGTCGTCGCCGGCGCCGTCGCTGGCCGTCGCCATCGTCGTCGTCGTCGCAGTCGTGGTCGCCGTCGCCATCGCCGTCGTCATCGTCGTAGTCGTCGTTTTCGTCGTCCAATGTCGTTGTCGTCGTCGTCGTCGCCCGTCGTCGTCACCCGTCGTCATCGATTGTCGTCGTCATCGTCGCCGTCGCCGTCCCCATCGCCGTCGCCATCGTGGTAATCGTCGCCGTCGTCGTCCCGTATCGTCGTCGTCGTCGTTCGTCGCCGTCGTCGTTGTCGTCGTCGCCAGCGTCGACGTCGCCCTCATCGTCGTCGTCGTCCGTCGTCATTCGTCGTCGCCGTCGTTGCCGTCGCCGTCGCCCGTCGTCGCCGTCGCCATCGTCGCCATCGTCGTCGTAGTCGTCGTCGCCAACGCCGGCTCCGGCGCCGTCGCCGTCGCCGTCGCCGTCGCCGTCGTCGCCGTGTTCGTCGTCGTCGTCAGCGTTCGTCGTCGTCGTCGTCGTCGTCGGCGTTCGTCGCCGCCGCCGTCGCCCTCGCCGCCGCCGTCGCCGTCGCCGTCGCCGTCGCCGTGCGCGGGCCCTCGGCGCCCGGAAACCGGCTGCCCGCGCGCGCCGCCCGCCCCACGGCGGGCCTCGCGCCCGTTGACCACCACGTGCGCCCCGGCCTCCGGCGCCCCGAGCGCCCAGTCGGCGCCGTACCTGGAGATCGGCGGTGAGCCACGGGGGGGGGCACGAGAAGGAGAAGGCCTTCTCAGAAGGCGGCGGGACTTCTCATCGGCTACACGCAAGAGTGACCCTGGGTAAGAGTGACCTTTGGTGCGCGGTTTTTGGGGGGCCGCGGGGGGACCACACTCATAGGCAGCACACAAAGGACGTACGCGCCCAGCTATGTACATGAACACGGCCCCTTGACCCGCGAGACCTGCCGCGCGATACGAACATTCGCGCAATGCGAACTCTCGAAACCAGCGTGGATTCATGTACATGTACGTCCTTCTTTCGCTCCTGAACTCAGGCGCGCGAGACGCTACTATCGCATCGCGATCGGTGATCGGGGTGCCCCACTGGGCCCGCACCAAAGGTCACTCCCGCGAAAGGTCACTCTTACGTCTAGTCGATCTCAGGAGCCCTCGCGCCCTCTGAGAAGCTTGTTCTCTGTCTCCGGGGGAGGCGCAGACAACTCCTCCAAGGCCGGGGGACGTCCGAACCTCCTGCGAAGGCCCCCCCCCTCGCTCGCCGCCGAGACAGCAGCGAGTCGGCACGATGTTGCCCGTCGCAGCGCGGCAGAGGCGCGACGCGCGCGCGCACGCTCGCGGGCCGGGCTCGGGCTCGCACTCACTGTCTGGCTGCAAGAGAGGGGGGGGCGGGGCCAGCGAGCGGCCGTGGAGGGAGGGCACGCACAGCGCGAAGGACTTCGACTGGAGTGGCCGGGGCGGCCAGCCTGTGCTGAGGCAGCCTGGCAGGCGCTCACGCCAAAGAGCTGCGGCGCAGGCTGCAGGCGCAGGGTGGGCACAGGCACGAGGACCCCAGAACTACGCATGCTTCCGTGCTGCTAGGATTGTCCTCCTCCTCCCCCATCATGCCCAATCGTTTTCCATACTCTCATGCAGGGCAGCGCGTATGCGTGGTGGTGCCAACTTTTCTCCCTCCTGGATGCCCCAGCACCAGCGCGGAGCAGCGCCCGGCGCCCGCGCCCGCGCCGAGGGGGTCCTCTGGGGGAGGCCCGCCCGCGGGACGCCCACGGCCGCATGCCGTCCTCGACAACGCCGTCGCCGTCGCCGTCGCCGTCGCCGTCGCCGCCGCCGTCGGCCGTGGCCGTTGCCGCCGTTGCATTCGCCGCCGCGGTCCGCCGCCGCCGTCGCCGTCGCCATCGCTGTCGCCGTCGTCGTTGTCGCCGCCGCTGTCGCTCGTAGCCGTCGCCGCCGTCGCCGTCGCCGCCGCCCTCGACGTCGTCGCCGTCGCCTCCGTCGCCGTCGCCGCCCGTCGGCGTCGTCGCCGTCGCCGCCGTCGTCGTCGTCGCCGCCGCCCGTCGCCCGCCGCAACGCCGTCTAGGACGAGGGTGATGTCGTGATGCGATGGGATATGGATGCGCTTCAAGAGTTCTGGAGTGCCCAGAGACCCTCGTTTCTGGAGCCGTGCGGAGCCATAGGACATCACATCTACGAAATCCTGAGAGGCAACGAAAAACATTGGAACGTCGCCGTCGCCGCCGTCGCCAAACGTCGGAGGCTGCCCGTCGGCACGCAGATGCTGCACGCACCCTCGCTGCCGCCGTCGTCGCGCTGCTGCTGCTCGGCGTCGTCGTCCCTCCTCCTCCTCCTCCTCCTCCTCCTCCACATCCTCCTCCTTCTCCTCCTCCTCCTCCTCCTCTCTTGCTCCTCCTCCACCTTCTCCTCCTTCTCCACCTCCTCCTCCTCCTCCTCCTCCTCCCACCATCCTCCTCCTCCTCCTACCTCTCGCAACCCATCACTCCTCCTCTCCTCCCCTCCTCCTACCTCCCTCACTCCTCCTCCTCCTCCCCCCAACCACCGCCGGCAACCCCGGGGGGGGGGGGGGGGGGGGGGGGGGGGGGGGGGGGGGGGGGGGGGGGGGGGGGGGGGGGGGGGGGGACCTCATCCTCCTCCTCCTCCCTCCAACCTCTCCTCCTCCTTCCTCCTTCCTCCTCCTCCTCCTCCTCCTCCTCCTCCTCCTCCTCCTCCTCCTCCTCCACCCTCCTCCTCCTGAGCCTCCTCGGCCTCCTGCGGGGGCCCCCTGGAAGCTGCCCGCCTGGGGGCAGACTCTGTGCATAGCTGCGGCCGTAATTGACCTCCTGCTCGCGGGCCAAGCCGGCTGCCGGGTGCGCAGCCAGGGCCGCTCAGTCGACGTTGGGCCCCGGCCATTCACTGCGGGGCAGGGGCTGACTGCAGGACGAGAATGCTATCATGATGCGAGTGGCTAAGGGTACGTTCCAGTTCCAGGGTTCCCAGAGTATCCAGCGGCCCCCGGGTCTGCAGACCGTGTGGAGTAAGTACCAGGGAATATCCAGCAAGTCCTGGAACAAGTCGAAAGCATCATGAGCAATGGTTCTCCTCCCAGGCCGGTATTTGACGGTGCCCGAGCCCGAAACTGGCTGCTGGAGGTAGAAAAAAAGCCGACACACCGGCCGCCTCGACTCTTTCGGGGCGCATGATGTCTGAGTTGCCGCACTGGCGGCCACTGGGGACCCCTGTCTGGCATCGCGAAAACTCACAAAGGGAGCCCTCGACCACGTCTTTCTGAGGCAGTCCGAGGGAGTCCCTGGGCCCGAAAGTGGGCGATCGCACCCAGAGGAGCAAACCAGTCCCAGACAAGCGAGATCTTGATGTGCTCCGTACATTGTACCTGGGAGTCTTGACCGTTTCCCCAGGACTGAATGAGAGGTCATCCTAATGCGGGAATATCTGCGTAGTGTTTTTGGTAGTGTGTTTGCGTAGTGTTTTGCGCATGCTGAAATAATATGCGTAGTGGTTTTGCGCAGTGTTTTTTTGCGAAGTCTTGACCGTTTCCCCAGGGCTGAATTCTCCTCCCCGGCCGCCTCCTGGACAGCCCCGGGGCACGGCGAGGCCCCCCCCCCAGAGGCCATCACATTGAACCTCACGCGGGGGGCCTCGGAACGCCGCGCGATCCTGCCTGGGACTGCAGCGCCCAGGCCTCGGGGGGGCAGGCCGTGCTCCGCGCGAGAGCGCCCAGGCCTCGGGGAGGGCCCCCCCCCCCCCCCCCCAGAGGCCATCAGATCAGACCTCACGCGGGGGGGCTCGGAACGATGCGCGATCCTGCCTGGGCTAGCAGCGCCCGGGGCCTCTCAGGGGCAGGCCGTGCTCCGAAGCGAGAGCGGGCGGCGCTCCGCGCGGTGCCTCCACGACCACAACCGACAGCGTGCCTCGTCGAACAGCAGTGCAGCAACCGGCCGCGGGCGCCTGCGCCTGGCGCCGGGGGGGGGGCAGGAGCCGGCAGCAAGGAAGCGGGCAAGCGGATCCCGGACACATGCTCGCGCGTGGGCAAATCGCGACGGGAGGCTTCTGGCAGAGTGGGCTTCCTCAGGAGATGGTCTGACCCAATCTCGCCATTCACCCCCTCCAGCCTCTCTAGTTCTGAGCGCGCACCGCCGCCACCTTTGCGTGGTCATGTTTCCCATTCGAAAGCCAACGTCGCAACCATGCGTTTGCCAACGATCGTCCTGCCGGGACTACGCCGAGCCGAGCGAGCGCGCAAACGAGGAAAATGGTTGATAATGTTCTGTCTTTTGGGGATCGCAGGAGCCCTGGGCCGTCAAAAAATGTTGGGATACGAATAGCGTGGAACCCGTATTGATAAAAAGAAAGACAAGCGCATGCCTTGGATGTGGATCGAGTGGAGGATCGGCCTCATCGGCACAGAGCCGAACTCGAACCGCGCCAGGACTCACGTACAACGCCATGCGAGCATCGGGCCGCATCGGATCGCTGGAAAATTGGCACGCCCGAAATGGGATCAAACAGTATCCCGGCAAAGCAACCTAACAGCGATGTGTAGGAGCATATCTGGAAGCATTCCCCTTAAGATTCACATGATAATCCAGTTGTAGAATTCTGCTGTTCTCGCAGTCGTAGTCGCATTCGCGATGACAGTCGCAGTGGCAACGGCAGTCGCAGTCACTGCCTCAGCCTCAGCCTGCCTCAGCCTCAGCCTCAGCCTGCCTCAGCCTCAGCCTGCCTCAGCCTCAGCCTCAGCCTGCTTCAGCCTCAGCCTCAGTCTGCCTTCAGCCTCGGCCTCAGCCTCAGCCTGCCTCAGCCTCAGCCTGCCTCAGCCTCCGCCTCAGCCTCAGCCTGCCTCAGCATCAGCCTGCCTCAGCCTCAGCCTCAGCCTGCCTCAGCCTCGGCCTCAGTCTGCTTCAGCCTCAGCCTCAGTCTGCCTTCAGCCTCGGCCTCAGCCTCAGCCTGCCTCAGCCTCAGCCTGCCTCAGCCTCAGCCTCAGCCTCAGCCTGCCTCAGCATCAGCCTGCCTCAGCCTCAGCCTCAGCCTGCTTCAGCCTCAGCATCAGTCTGCCTTCAGCCTCGGCCTCAGCCTCAGCCTGCCTCAGCCTCACCCTGCCTCAGCCTCAGCCTCAGCCTCAGCCTGCCTCAGCCTCAGCCTCAGCCTCAGCCTCAGCCTCAGCCTCAGCCTGCCTCAGCCTTAGCCTCAGCCTGCTTCAGCCTCAGCATCAGTCTGCCTTCATCCTCGGCCTCAGCCGCTGCCTGCCTCAGCCTCACCCTGCATCAGCCTCAGCCTCAGCCTCAGCCTGCCTCAGCATCAGCCTGCCGCAGCCTCAGCCTCAGCCTGCCTCAGCCTCAGCCTCAGCCTGCTTCAGCCTCAGCCTCAGTCTGCCTTCAGCCTCGGCCTCAGCCTCAGGCTGCCTCAGCCTCATCCTGCATCAGCCTCAGCCTCAGCCTCAGCCTGCCTCAGCATCAGCCTGCCTCAGCCTCAGCCTCAGCCTCAGCCTCAGCCTCAGCCTCAGCCTCAGCCTCAGCCTGCCTGCCTCAGCCTCAGCCTCAGCCTCAGCATCACCATTCTCAGCCTGTGCCTCAGCATCAAAATGTGGCCCGGGAATGGAGTTCTGGGAACTCGAAGAGCACGAAGTGTCCTACAGTTGGCTCCGGGCATTCAAAATGTGGCCCGGGAATGGAGTTCTGGGAACTCGAAGAGCACGAAGTGGCCTACAGTTGGCTCCGGGCATCCAAAATGTGGCCCGGGAGTGGAGTTCTGGAAACTCGAAGACCACGAAGTGGCCTACAGTTGGCTCCGGGCATCCAAAATGTGGCCCGGGAATGGAGTTCTGGGAACTCGAAGACCACGAAGTGGCCTACAGTTGGCTCTGGGCATCCAAAATGTACGCCGGGAATGGAGTTCTGGGAACTCGAAGACCACGAAGTGGCCTACAGTTGGCTCCGAGCATCCAAAATCTACGCCGGGAATGGAGTTCTAGCAGCGCCAAGAGCGATTTTGCGAGGATGTCCCATGCGATTTGGGCTTCGGCGGCAGCCGCCCCAGGTCCCGCCCCGATCCCCCTGTGGAGTCATCTGCTGCTCTCTTTTGACACCACTAGAAACCTATCAGTCTTCGCTGTTAAATAAAAATGGGCACGATGCTCAACAACAAATGCTGTCGAAAACCGCCAGCGGCCGCTGTTGGGTAGGCGACCTGTCTCAGATGCACAAAAATTCCAGCGGCGCCGACAACGAGTCTGGCTCAAAAGGGGCAAGAAACGAATGTGGTCGTCATCCCCACTCTTTGCGTTAGCGAACTCGGCCGTCCCGAGAACATCAAGCCGGGTCGGACCCAGCCTGGCAAGCTCGAAAACGAATCGCATCGGTCGGACCCAGGAGTGGGTCGAGGAGGTCTAGCCGCTGCAGGGCGAGAAAGCCGCCTACCAGCGGTGCTGACAAAACGAAAACACACATACAGCAGAGCTGTGCTATGGTAGGAGGAATAAGGAGCTGTGCTTAGGTCGTCCTCCTACAGGTGGATGTCGGATGCTTTTTCAACCAACAAAATCAACACATATTCAACACTAGTTAGAAATAGTGGAACAATCGTCCCCAGACTCTTTTTTTAAACTATGTTTGGAATATTCCTCCTGTCGAAGGACATGCCCGACTTAAATCTCTGCGCATACAGTCAACCCGTACAGTAAGGATGCGCGATTAGGATGCAAGGGCCGCGGACGCTCATTTCGAAGTTCTTCGAGCGGGGCGCGGCCAACGAAAGTGGCCAAGGATGGGCCGAGGAGGCAGGGATGCAAGGCTACCCTTGGGAAGGTTGCCCATCTTTGCTATGCGGGTGGACCGTGCACCGAGCCTGGCCAGTGCCATCCCGAGCCCAAGATCCGTTCACACGCCACCCTGGCTCGGCCAGGGAGGCAGGCATGTGCACCGCTCCGGGGCCCAGGGTGGGCCTGCATAGATCGGTGCACGTGCATACCTCTCTCTCTCTTCGCCAGCGAGAAGAGGACCCTGCTGCAAGATACCTGGGGCGCGCCTGTCGTCGGACTCCGGACATCCCGAGGTGCACCAGGAGGCCTCCTGTGAGCCCGCAGGGCCCCCCTGGGGACGAGACGCTTCCAGGGGGGAACCTGCTCGCGTGCCAGCCTCTTGCAGTCGAGACGTGGCCACAAGAACGCGGATCAAGATTATTTGGGCCCTGGCAGCCAAGGCAGACTTCCGGACGGGCCCGCCCAAGAAGACCTAGATGACTTCGAGTCCGGAGCTGGCGAGGACGAGGGTACGAGGGAGGCCAGTCCCAGCCCGAGACACCAGGAGCACATGGAGGCCCCAGCAATTTGTCGGCATTCGGCAAGAAGGTCCCCTAGGAAGCGCAAGTGGCCAAGCACCCTCCAACGATCTGCTTTCACGACGCGACGACGGCAAGTTTTTGGGCCCTAACTCCGGCCTCCGGCGGCCGATCGGGACGAGCTCAGCTCCCCCAGAATGCTCTCGACGAGGCGCAGCCGCTGCAACGCGTCCCGAGGCGAGAAGACCCTCCAAAAACCACTGAGCACTGGGGCCGAGAAAGGAAGCAACGCGAAGACATCCGAGAACCCAATCCGGTGTACCTGGGGCACCGGCAGCACCCGGGCCACCCCCTGGCCACGCTGGAGCACCCGCGCGGAGGCTGTAGCTCCTAAATGACCCGCCTGGCCCTGGAAAAGGGCCACGAAGCCTCCGACGCGGTGATCGTTCCGATTCGTGTGCCCCAGGCCTCCTCCTCCTCCTCCTCCTCCTCCACCTCCTCCTCCTCCTCCTCTTTCATCCTTCTCCCCCAACTTCTCCTCTTTCCTCCTCCTTCTCCTCCTCCTCCACCTCGTCCTCGCTCCTCCTCCTCCTCGTCCTACCTCCTGCGTCCCTCCTCCTGGCCTCTCTCCTCCTCCTCCTCCTCCTCCTCCTCCCCTCCTCCTCCCCTTCCTCCTCCTCCTCCTCCTCCTCCACCCCTCCTACCTCCTCCTCTCCTCCTCCTCCTTCTCCCTCCTCTCCCTCTCCTCCCCTTCCTCCTCCTCCTCCTCCTCCTCCTCCTCCGTCCTCCTCCTCTCCTCCTCCCTCCTCCTCCTCCTCATCCTCCTGCTCCTCTCCACCTCCTCCTTTTTCCTCCTCCTCCTCCTCCTCCTCCTCCTCCTCCTCACACCCCTCTTCTTCCTCCACCTCCTCCTCCTCCTCCTCCTCCCCATCTACTCTCTCCTTGTCCTTCTCCTCGTCGTCCCGCTGTTATTCCTTCTCCTCCTCTCCCATCCTCTCTCCTCCTCTCTCGTCGCCCTCCCTGCTCCCCCTCCTCTTCCTTCCTCCTCGCCCCCTCCTCTCTCCAGGGAGGGGCCCGGACCTTCGAGGCCCGTGCCTCTCCCAGAGGTCCGTAGGCCCCCGACTCCTCGAGCGCTGCGGCTGCAGGACGCTCCGCATCCAGGGCCCGCCTTCCCTGGAGGGCTTCCTCCTCCTCCCTCCTCCTCCCGTCCCTCCTCCTCCTGCTCCCCTCCTCCACCTCCTCCTCCTCCTCTCCTCTCCTCCTCTCCTACCTCCTCCCATCCTCCTGCTCATCCTCCGCTTGTCCTCCTCCCCTACCTCCTCCTCCTACCTCCCTCCCCTCCTCCTCCTCCTCCTCTGCCCTCCCTCCTCCACCTCACCCCTCCCCTCTCCTCCTCCTCCTCCTTCCTCCTCCTCCTGATCCTCCTCATCCTCCTCTTCTTCCTCCTCCTCCTCTTCCTCCTCCACCTCATTCTCCTCCTCCTCCTCCACCTCCTCCTCCTCCTCATCCTGCTGCTGCTGCTGCTCCTCCTCCTCCTCCGCTCTGGGGCCCCGAGACTGGGCCGACGAAGAGCGGCATGAACTGGGCGCCGCTCCATGGGGGGGGGGGGGGGGCGCTGAAGGGTGGGGGATGGGGAAAGACGTACACTGCTCGCCTCAGGGGCTCCTTTACAGGCCTTCAAGGGCCCATTTTCTGCAGCCCTCGCTGCCATCCGACGCCCAAATACAATAAACTGCTCCGCCCGGGGACGCTGGAGAGTTTATACCCTTACAGTGGCACGGCGGGTACACAATTTCATGCCGCCATTGGGCAGGCGTCGCCGACGGCGGAGAAGTTGATGGTAGACTTTTCGTCGGCTAAGAGACAGCCAACGTCCGAGATTGGAGGAAAAGACATGCCTGGCATCCTCGCGTCATGGAAACAACATCTGGAGAAATCTCCAGCCTCTGCCTGGTACCCTTGCCAGGCTCCGTGGCCGTCCAGAAATGACTCGGGGGGAAAAAAAACTCCCCAGGAGGGGGCACGGCCCTGCGCAGAAGTCATGCGACGCAAGATGTCTAGGCCAAGGGTTGACAAAATCCAGGTGTGAGGTCCAAGCCCCGGGGAACCTCCGCCTCGAGAGTGCGCTCCAGCCAGACCCTCGAGGCGAGGAGGAGCTCCTGGGCAACCCAAGCGCGCCCTCGGAGCCCGGCCTTCCGACGCCGTGGACCTTCACAGCCGTGGCCCCCGCGAGGTCTGGGCCCCCTCCCGAGGGCCAGCCCCAACGGCTCCCAAGGGGCCCGGGGAGGGGCGCCCCCGAGGCCGAGCGTCGCCCAGAGCCTTCCGTCGTGTTCTGTCTGGTTTCGCGGCGCGAGGGCGCGAGGGAGTGTCCACGAGTCCGGCCCTCGACTCTGAAAGGGCCCCAGGACACACAAAGAAATGCACACAAATAAAAATATTCCCCATATGTTCCCATATTTTCCAGGTTTCTGTCTTCCCCCCCACTTCCCATATTTTCCCATATTTTCCTGGGAATCGACGGTTAATTGTGTCTGTGTGTTTTTTTCCCCCTCCTGAGACTCGGAGGACTGCAAATCGAGAGGACGGCGGCTCACCCGGGCTGGCAACCTCCGCCTCCCCCCATACCTCTCCAGGGGGCCATCCTCGCCCGTCGTTCGGCGCAGATCCAGCCGCGGCGACGAGGAAGCCTCCAGGAGGCCCAGGAAGATACGACGGAACACGCAAGGAGGGCCGCCCTTGTCTCGATTGGCCCTCCTCCGATCGACGCGCCCTCGACGAATTCGCATGGGGGGACGGGTCCTGACGGAAACGGGTCCTGGACCCTGGGGGCTCCCCCCAGGACGAGATCCTCATCCTGACTCGTTTTCTGGCTGTCCCGGGGCCCGTGGAGGCCCCAGGAAACCGAACATCTGCGAAAACTCTCAGGACCCGTTTCCCTCAGGACCCGCTTCCCCCATGGCGAAGGAAGCACCCCCCCCTCGCCCGCCGGCATCGTCGGTCAGCATCGCCGCCGCGTCCACGACGGGCCCTGCCCGCGAGGCCATCGGCAGCTTAACTCGGGCGACGGACTCGGAGAAGACATCCTGCGGGTGCGGCGCGGCGGGGTGACCAGCAGCCCACTGTCGTCGTCCTCGTATCTTGTCTGGCGGCGCGCACGGGAGCTCTTCCTGCAGTCTCGGAAAGTAGCGGATAGGCCGAGCGGCGTCAGCACATTGCCTGAGTGAGTGCGCATGCGCGTGCGCGCGCACGAATACATGCTCGCAGCTGCAGCGCACACCGTCGGTCCGAATACGCCCGCGAGCGCGATCCTTCTTCAGCCCGGCCGTGAGCCCCCCCTGGCCTCCGAGAGTCTGGAATCCTGGGTGCCGAACGCCGCGGTCACGCTTTCCAGTCCCCCCCCCCTCTAGAATTCAGGCGGGAGCGGTCTCTGCCTGGCATGGCCTCCGCCTCCTGCGGTTCCGAGGGGGCCTCTGCCCCAGAGACGTGCTGGCAACGCGCGCGCCACACGTGCTGCGGTCGGCAGGGCGCCCGGCGCCAGACGTGGTGCGCACCCGCTGCCAAAAGCTGGCGCTGCTGGAGGCCGCGCAGCGCGTTGTGCACAACGCGCTGCGCGCAATGTGGTCACAATGTGGCGCGGCCGCGCTGCGCCTCCGCGCTGCGCGTTGTGCTGCGCGCGGCCACAATGTGGCCGCCGCGCAGCAGGCCGCTCTCGCAGCGGCGCCGCCTGCCGCCGCGCCGCCGCCGGCGCGACTGGCGCAGGGTTCGCCGCGGCGCCCCGGCCCGCGCTGCGTCCGCCCCGGCGGCCGACGCCCCCGCTGTCTGCAGGCGACGCCGGCGCCGCTCTGCCCGCGCCGGGGCGGCGCCGATGCGCCCGTCGGCAGTGGGGGCGTGCTGACCGCGTTTTTCGCCGAGCGTTCTCGGTGGCCGCACGCCCTTGCGCGCGGGCCCGGCCACGTCTTCTGCCTCCGCTGCGGCGGCAGTGCGGCGTCGGCGGCAGGCCTGCTGGGGAGCGCGTGCCCAGGCGGCGCTGCTCCTTGGCGAATTGCCCTGCGCGGGTGGCAGCGCGGAGGCGTCTGCATGCCTGGCTGCGCAACGCATTGCGCAGCTCCCAAAGGTCCCAGACTGAGCCTTTGGGTGGGGTCGAGCGCCGCGGCTGCGCGCGTGCTCGCGTCCGCACGTCAGAAAAGCTGGCGGCGCGCGCGCGAGGGAGGAGGGACGATGGAGAGGACGACTGGGGGGGGTGGTTCTTGGTGGGCAGGGGTCTTCTCGGAGGGGGCCAGAAGCTTCCTGAGATGACCCATGAAAGCCTCCCGGCCCTTCTGAGAAACCCTCTCCCGTAGAGCCGCCTTAGGAGCCCGTGCGGCTCGCTCTTACGGCTCACTTGCCCCCCGACCCAGTCCAGTCCCACGGCCCGTGTCCTCCTTCACCTCCTTTCCCTCCCTCCTCCCTCCCTCGCTCCCCCCCTCCTGCTGCTCCCCGGCCCGGCTGAGCCTCCCGTTCCTTCCTCCACCTCCATCTCCTCCCTCCTCCTCCACCAGCTCCTCCCTCCTCCCTCCTCCTCCCTCCCTCCCTCCCTCCCTCCTGCTCCCTCCCTCCTGCTGTCCTCCCATCTTACGTGGGCATCTTGAAGCCTCCTTAGAGGCACATGCTCCGTCACGTGAGGCCGCCCCACTCGCGACGCTCCCCTGCGCGCGCCGCCACTCATACCACTATTGTCGAGAACAGCCCCTGGCAGCAGCCTCCTCCTCCTCCTCCTCCTCCTCCTTCCTCTCACCTCCTCCTCCTCCTCCTCCCCCTCCTCCTCCTCCCACTTCCCCCTCCTCCTCCTCCTCCTCCTCCTCCTCTCCTCCTCCTTCTCCTGCGCCTCCTCCTCCTCCTCCTCCTCCTCCTCCTCCTCCCTCCTCCTCCTCCTCCTCTTACTTCTCCTCCTGCTCCTCTTCTCCTCCTCCTCCTCATCTTCCTCCGTTTAAGTGAGAAGGTGCCTGGTAGAAACCAAACAGTGGGCGCCCGACCCGCGACGAGCACAGGCACTGTTCGGGCTCAAACAAAATCACTAGCAGCAGACAAGCAAGCGCGCACTTTTGGCAACCGCAGGCGCGTGCTGTCCTCTTGAGCCTCAGGTGAGGCTCCGCTGTGCCGCCAGACTGGCGGCTCCTCGGCCCGAACCGCTACGCGGTCAAGGCCGAAAAGCGAAAAGGGGTAACGAGTGGCCAGGGAGGGCCTGGGAGGGAAGGGCCCGAGAAAGAACTTGAGCCCCAGAGGGGCCGCGGAGAGGGGGAAAGGGACAGAGGCAAGAGAGACCCTTCCCCCTCACCAGGCACTTACTCCCTGAAACCCTACGTTTTACGCACGCTCAAACTCTCACGTTTAAGTGAGAAGGTGCCTGGTAGAAACCAAACAGTGGGCGCCCGACCCGCGACGAGCACAGGCACTGTTCGGGCTCAAACAAAAACACTAGCAGCAGACAAGCAAGCGCGCACTTTTGGCAACCGCAGGCGCGTGCTGTCCTCTTGAGCCTCAGGTGAGGCTCCGCTGTGCCGCCAGACTGGCGGCTCCTCGGCCACCCAGCTTCGCTCACCCCCTCGGCGCCCGTGACTTGCGGGTGGTGCCGAAGGGGCTCACAGCTGGGCGCCTCGCTGCACGGCGCGTGCCGGCGCTGGCGGAGCGCCAGCCGGCCTCCTCAACCTCTCCTCGGCCACCCAGTTCCTCTCACCCCCTCGGCGCCCGTGACTTGCGGGTGGTGCCGAACAGGGCTCACAGCTGGGCGCCTCACTGCACAGCGGGTGCCGGCGCTGGCGGAGCACCAGCCGGCTTCCTCAACCTCTCCTCGGGGACCGCACTGGCGGGGCGCCCCAGCCACCTCCGCCTCTCCTCGGGGACCGCACTGGCGGGACGCCCCGGCCCTCGGCCTCCTCGCCTCCGCACGCCCCTTCGGCGCCCGTGACTTGCGGGTGGTGCCGACTGGGGCTCGCGGTCCTCCTCCACCTCACCTCCGTCCGTCGATCCAGGGGGTCGCCACTGCCCCCAGGCCATTACCCCAGGACTGCGCACAATCCAGCAACGGCTCCTCCAGTGGTGACACGCCTTGGCTCAACACTCGCACTCCTGGTACTGGCCTCAGGCTCCCGGCTTCTCCTTCAAATCAGCAGCCGGTCCGCCTCCCGCCGTTTCAACTTTGTACCCCACATGCAGGGTTGCCACAGACTTCGCCATCGCCTCTGACACTCCAGCGGCGTCCTCATTCGCCTCCCACAAATACTGGTGGAAGGCCCCGCTGTTCCACCGCCCCCAACGCTTGACCAGCTCCGTGTCCTGGAAGCAGTGGTACAGGGCCGTCGCCCCGCCGATTCGGAGCGAATGGCTCTTGAACCTGTCGGGTGGGTAGCCTTCCAGCGCCGCCGCCTTCTGAAGCAAGCCCTGGATACGCTCCCGCGTGATCGGGCTGCCATCTTCCCACCTCGCAAGTGGTAAATGTGCCTCTTTGCCCGCGATACGGCTCGGGAACCAGCGGTTGTAGCACTCCGCCGCCCTCGCCGGGCAGATGCCGAACGGGTCGTTCGAGCGGTAGTGGTTCCTCGCCTGCCCTGCTCCCTTCTGGTCAGCCTTCGACGCCTTGAACCACAGCACCACCTCGTCCGCGGCAGCGAAGTGGCTTACCTGTTCGCCCTTGCACTTCGGGGCAATGTCCAGCCCGGTCAAGACCTTCTTCAAATCCCAGTGCCCCGAGTGGGCGTACTCCCCAATCCGCATCATGAAGAAGAAAGCGAAGATCACGCAGAAATACAAGGCCGCGTCGTCCGCGCAAGTGTCCGGCTTCAGCATGTCTCGGATTCTCCTCAGCATCTTGGTCGTAACCGGGAGCTTCCTCTTTCCGGGCCCTTGCCAGATCTCTATCCCATTTAACGCCATCCACAGTCGCGGCTTACCCGCCAAGGGGTCGGGCTCACCCAGCATCACGTGGTGTGAACGGATCCCCAGCAACTTTGACCGTATCGTCCCGTGCGACCGCTTCAGGCTGTTGTACAGGTGCACCATGAACAGCAGCAGCTCCTCCTCATCTTGGCGACGCTCTTCACGAGTCTCACCATGCAGGATGGGCGACCTCCTACGGATCCGGCAGAACGTCGTCCACTGCCTCCAAGCGACGCCGTAGGTCGCCTTCGTTCCCTTGGCCACCGAAGCCACCACGGCTGCGTCTACCAACCTCTGGAGCTCTGGCGCGTACCCAGCATCGGCACGCCCGCCGGCCCGCCTGGAGTCCTCCCTGGCGATCCGCCTGAGCTGCCGCTCGAGCCCTTCGCTGCCCTGTCCGCTGCCTGCTGCCGCTTCCAGGTACCGGCTCACCGCCTCTGGGTCGATGTCCTCGGGCGGTCCAGCCTCCGGTGCCGCACGCCGCGCCACCTCCTCACGCTCGCGCTCCTCTCTTCCCCCGTGCCGGGGGGCGACCGCGGCGGCACTCCCTGCCTTGGCTGCCCTCTGCGCGGCCGCCAACCGGTCCTTGGCCATCGAAATGGGGTAGGTCTTGTTGCACATCGGGCAGCTCGTGTCCCGGCCCTCGCCCTGCACACCGCAGTACTCACACCACGCATAGCGGGCGTCTGGGCCGCCTCCTGGGAAAGGCACCGGCCGAAGTGGTTCGGCCTCCTCCTCTGTCTCTTCATAGTCCTCCTCCGAGTAGGACTCAGGTGAGTTGAGGCCCCTCACGGCCTCGGCCGCACGTGCAGGTCCGCCAGGCCTGAGCGGGTCCTCCTCCGCCCGGTGACCAGGGGGCTGTGGCCGCTTCTCCGGCCCGCGGGACCCACTCGACTCCCCCGAAGGGGGGGCCCAACTTCCTGGTTGAGGCAGCGGCTCGCGGTCGGCCCGCCCCTCTGGCCGCGGGAGTGGCTCTCGGCCAGGCCGAGGGTGGGCCACCGACGTCTCCACCCCGGCGGCCCTCCCCCTGGGGCGGTCCTCCTCCTCTGGTGCGGACCAGAGCCCTGTCCTCTGAAACTCTACCCGCCTAGCGAGCGCACGGTAAGTCTGACCAACCGCCCGCGCGACCTCTGCCGGGGGCTCTTCCTCCGACCTCTCCTCCTGCTTGACCGCTGCTGGTGCAGGTGGGGTCTTCGCCCTTAGGTGAATGTACTCCGCCTGCCCCGCACCGGGGTGCCCGGCCCCATCCTCGGGCCGAGCTGCCTC